AGCAGGTAAGAAACAAACTCACTCAGTCCATGATGCAAGGTCTTTTTTAAACATAGGTAGTCATTCAAACATTCACTAAATTGCCTGCTCTTATGGGACATAAAGATTTGTTATCACTAAGTTTGAAGGTTTTTGATGATGGCACATTATACTATATAAAACTGCTTGTTTGACATGTCCATTGCCTGAATACAACATTAAAGACTGTCATATCATTGTAGAAAATGCAGATCAGTATGTAAGATTTCAGATTATTTTTTGAAAGAGTAAATACATTGTTTATTTTGTGAAAAAATGTCATGGTACTGGACAAGTGATCTTCTCTTCCACACTGTATTTACATTATTTGCTAAGCATTCCAGTAGAGGGTTAAAGACAAAGGCAACTAGCAAGTGTATGATTTTTCTATTTTTCACAATTTATACCATTTTTCATCAGTTAACAGAAAAATGTAAATACCAGGTTCTATAATTTTTCAGGCTGCTGCACAGCTATTAATGGCCAAGAAGAAGAAGAAGAAGAGATCCAAGAAAAGAAGTAGTGGGGTCTTGGAAGGATTTGATGAATATGGTGAGTTTGGGAAATTAAATTCAGTGTATGGAAAATTAAAGAATTACACTATTACTGTAATATAAATTTCCCCTTTGGTCTTATTACTTTTATGTATAATTTGCACACAAATCGAACCCTTAATAACAAGTATAGTCAGTTGTGCCATAACATAATAGTTAGTCTTTTCTTTGTACTTAGTTGCCATGTGTTCAATCATGTTACATCCAAAATGGACCCATGTTATGAAAACACTGTTCCTTAATACTGTCATTGAATTATATCCAGACTGTGTAATGACAACATTTCATAAGTGAACTGTATGTATTTCTGAACTCTTATGCTGTACAGATTCCAACATACTTATGATGGTCTGTAGGTCCTTAATAATAGTTGTTGACTCCCAGCAAGGGTCTCGGTATACTGTAACCTTATGGAATTGAGATAGTCATGTTCAGAAGTATTGATCAGTCCCCTGTTCCTTAAAATATATAAATTTTTACATATGGTAGGTAAAGTCTGTATGTCTAAGTACATAAATGTGTATATGGTAAAGTGGAGGTACAGTTGTCTGTGTAAGCTTCATGCTGTGTCCATTTTATCCCCTGGGAGAGTGCTCCTATTATCCACTGGATAGGATGCTGTGTGCATATCTGAGCTGATTTGGAGGTAGTAAGTAAAAATTCCTGCCTCTGCAGGGAATCAGATTCTAGCCATTCAGTTTGTATCCAGATGCATTAAGTCACTGAGCCATACCAGCTAATAACCAGTATTTCAGGTTGATTTTTGTTTCTCTACATACAATGTTCGAAAGATGACTTACAGTTTTAAACCATTTCACATGTGGTTCAGATGTTATGTAATTTTTCTGATTAAGTGAAAAGGTAACCATTACACATTTTTATGTGTTTGATAATTTTTCAGGAGCTGTCACAGCAAACAGCAGCATTACAGAAGAAACTAGTGAGCCTGTCAAAAAGAAAAAGAAGAAGGCTAGGCAGGACAGCAATGAATAATTTTTTTTGTACTGAATCAAAAAATTGTCACCTCAGTGCTGAGATGTTGGAAATGTTCCAGCACAATCTTAAACATATATAGTACTAATTTCTCTGACATACTAGTGAGTAGGATTATATGACATCTACCAGTGCGACTGGGCATTTTCAGTACTCTGCAGTATGTATGGTTAATAAACTGGAAGTGTTCTTAAAATGTAAGTTTAATTACAGCAGTTTATTGTTAACACATCTTATTTTCCTCTAAGAAAACTCCTGTTTCACCTCTACTTCCAATGGTTAGCTGTCATTCTGATGACCTTTCCAGTGTGATATATGTAAGAATATTTTGCATCCTTGCACCCAGAAGTATGGGAAGTTTTGTTGGTATCCTGAGGGAAATGCTCAGGAATTTCAGTATGGGGCTTTAATTTTTGAGTGACCCTAGTACTTTCTGTCATATTTGGTATGGAAAAGAGTAAAAGATTCAGCATAAACTAGAAACATATGATTTGCACCCTAATACACCAGTTATGTGTGTGCTACCTCTTTGGTGTAACTGTTTCAAACTTTCATATCAGTGTCACGTGTGTAATGTATATGCAGCAAAAAATAAATATAGTTAATAAATTTGTATTAAATGCATTGGTTGCTGAGGTTAATAGTTGTTCAAAATTACATTTAAGAAAATTCACTGAAATTTATGGCTAGTTACAAGTGGAAAACCAAGGTTTCATTCCTGGCAGAGGAAAGAATTTCTCTGTGTATCATCACATCTAGACTAGCTGTGGGGTCTGCATGGATCTTATGTAATGGGCAACAGGACATGTTTCCCCAGAACTGAATGAGTTGTTTTAATGGTAACACTACACTCATATTCTGAAAGTATTCAGTTTGAATCTTGGCCTGGTCACCAGGTACATTCAAGGTTTCCACATTTTTCTTGGGCAATGTCAGTATAGTACCTTTAAATATGAACAACCTTCTGCCAGATCCATACCCACTGAGAATCCATGATTACCTTCCCATCTCATCTGATGCTATTTTATATTAAATCATTAAGTAACCCAATAATCCTTCCTGGCTGGTAACAGCCATAAAGTGAAGGCAGTCCACTCAATGTCTAACAAGACGAGCAAATTCTGGTATAGCTATAAAACATACCATGACTGGTTGCCAATTGCCCTTTAATGTCACCATTCACCTTCAATCTACATATACCATTTAATGCAGAAAACACGAAGTTGCAGAAATATAATTACAGTAAATAACCCGAGAATGAATCCAACTATTGCTGAGGGAAAGCATATATGGAGCTACACCTCCTTATATTCATGACATTGTTATAAACAGGGTAGCTTTGCATGAGACAGAGTAAGTCTGATGTAACAAATTCCTATGATGAGTTTGAGGGAAGTTCAGCTATGTTTCTCGAGAAGGGCCACGCTTGAAGTATATGAAAACGTTCAAGTGGGAAACTAAAATAACAACTTAAACACTTCATTTAAATTAAATTACTGAAACATGTTTATTACATTCATCAGTTGCAGAGTCCTAATTTTTGTTTTTCCAAATTTCATTAAGGCACAATGTTTGAAAGAAAGTAAATCTTAATATACTTATGTTTCTAATACAAATATCTTCACATATACAACATATGGGGTCAATATGTACATAATAACAGTATGGTTCCCAACATTTATATTTTGTTTCAGCTGATGCCATATAACTGAAAACCCACAACCTATTCCCCAAGTAGGAATGAAAAAAGTATACAATCTCTGTTACACCCACAAACAGAAATATACATACTCACATGTTCATCTGCTCAAGAGACAGCCAGTTTTTACAGAATGCATCATTTTTCATTACATTTATGTTAATGAGGCATGCACAGCTTCAGTCTGTAAAAGGTCTTGATCAACAAATTATGACATTTAAGTATCTACCATACAAATTTGTATTAAAATACCACCTACAAACACACATATGCTTTGGGTACTACATGTTACCATTAAAATTAACCCTCGTCAAATGCACTGTATGTCACTCAAATTTAAAGTTTCATTACTGTTATGTTATAGGACCATGCTTATGACAGTCTGTTTACATTAAAAAAATTCGTTCACTAAGTTTTGTGTGTTCCCATCTGTTTGCCTAGGTAAACATAAATGGTTTTAAAACTGCAGAAGCAGTCTAGGTTCACTATAGTTATGTAGCCTAGGAAACATGCATTTTTGAGCAGCTAGTAACAGTTTAATGAATCAAGCAATCACTATGTTGTCCCATAGCAATAAAATAACAGATAAATCAATGGGAGTATGTGGTCTTAACAATGTTGCAATAAATAATCAATTTCAGTACTTCATTGTAATAAAATCTGAATAAAGAACAGGTGCCTTCATTAGTTTTATATAATTTATTGCCATTTCTTTGCTAATAGCATGTTAAACTCACTGGTATACCAGCCCACAGCCAGTCACTTTACTGACTGGGATATAGGAACAGTAATATAAATATTTGAAAGAGATCACACACATAATATGTACACTCATAAGTAAATTATGGTATTTACTAGCAACAATATAAACAAAAGAAGATATTTATGGATGGTGCACATAAAGCATAAAATTATATAGTGAACAACCATGTTACATTATGGGGTTCCTCAATAAAACATAACCTTAGTTGAACATACTAGTAGCAAGGAAACAAATGATATACAATACGGACAGACCCTCACAGCATCTTACAACATGACAACAATGCAAAGACCTTAAATGAAGCAAGTTAAATAGTGCATGTGATGTCAATGTAGATCTGGGTAGTAACGCCATGTGGACTGGTACATACCTACAAGTTCATACGGCATTACTATCCAGAAGACCAACCATCTTCACTGCAAGAACCTCAAATCTCATATAATGCATCTAGTTGTGGTTAGCAGCATAATATAGTGTTGCTGATGGTATTTTTACTAAACATTTCATGACAAAACACCATGGTACAGAAAGAATAAATAAAGACCACTATACAAACCTGTGCAATGCATGCTTCAACAATTCAAGCACTATGCAAACAAAAGGTTTCCATTCCATTCAACTGAGGAACTCAAATACCCACCCCAACACGTGGGGGGGGGGGGGGGGGGCAAAGAAAAAGGAGGAAAGAAAGAATGTGTCTGTTTCTTTATCTCTTTTCATCCCTCCTTAGCAAAAGTCATTCAATATTTTTGTCCCACATACTGCCAAAATCTGACAAATATCTAAAGATGTTTAAAAACGTCCCTGCTTATATCAACATCACTTTCATATAACCACCCATGCTCGTAATTCCACCTACTTTCCAATATTTAAAATTTTAAAAAAATGTGGCAACAAAACAGAGAAGGAATATAAACTAAACCATTGGTATTATTATTTTGAAACTTTGGTTTTACAGGAATATGGATTCATCCTTATTAGTTTATATTTAATTTGGTGATTCTAGGTTAGATGAGATCATGCAAGCAAATTAAGTCCTGCACCATAAAGGTTATAAAGGAAAGTTCTATGGCATACATTATAAAAATTAACAATTTATACTATTAGTTGAAAGTCTGTATGAATATTTAATGTTATTTTACCATAAAAATTGTAATGTGCAGTTAAAGTTAATGTATTTGTATATCTAATTGTATTATGTATCAGAGGTGCAAGAAATCAAATATGAACCAGCAGTTACTATAATATTTGCACCTTAATCTATGAGAATTACCAAATGAGATGCACATAATTATGTAACAAGAAAGAGTAAGACATACTGATTTTTAAACATGATAATAAAAATCTGATTGGGAGGAGTAATGTTTATGGAAAACCAGACTGAAAGAGTTAATTTGCAATTTAAAAGCTACAATGATACAAGTTAAGGCTGAGTTCCTCAGCAGATGGAATATTACCATTAGAAACAAGTTTTATCTGTCCTCATTGAGTAACCATTTCAATACTGTTCAATAAACACGTGTATTAATCGCACATACAGTTTGTGCCTTGTTTTATGTATGATTCACCATTCTGTACAAAAATCTATTCTCCCAGCACCATGAGCAGTGGTATGTGGTATACAAGAGCCTCAGGAGTGTGATTACATGTTTGAAACTGTTACAACTTGTCACATGACAACAAGAATGTTTTGTATAAGAAATACTACTAAATATCATACATCAAACATGTAAAAACAATCATGGGCCATCTTGTACATACATAATCTTTCTCCTGAATATATGTACACAAGCTTCATTTATGTATAGCAAATATACAAACATACCCTTAAAACAAACTAACAAAAAATAATCCTGCCAATTTCATTCAGTCAGTCCAATATTATCCTGAATTGCTTAAAAATAAAATAAAAATATGTATTTTAAAAACAACTAATCTGAGTCCTTTTATGTAATGTATTATGCTGTCATTTCTCACTGGTTTATGCACGGAATGAATTAAATAAATTTTTAATTCAAGTTTAGATATGGAATGCAAAGTAACTGCTGCCCTATAAAAATGTAATATCCTTTGTTTTGTTTAAATTTGTGTATCTTGCTAGTTTTTAACCATTTCCATGCTACATTTCTTTACTTGCACTTACTCCATAACCATTTTCCTATAAAGACACATATCACAACAAAATGGTTCATAACAACATGACGCTAGATTTATCTGTACATGAACCACCTTGTTCCAAGACATTACTTTCATCACAAAAACATGCAAGTCATTGAACAAAGTTTGTCAACAGCATGGAAAGGGCTCATGGATACAACTTGTCCTCAAAGAACAGAGGTAAATATGACCAAAAACCAAAGTTATGTATTCCATCTGTACTATCAACAAAGTATTGCAATGCACACTCTTAAAGATAATGTTCACTTCATTACCCTTACCACATTCTGGGAACTAAACATAACATCACTGGCTCACCAATTACTGGGATATGTGACACAAAGCACTGACAAAAATTCTTCTATGGCATGGATGTTTGATCTTCAATGTTAAAAAATAAGGACACATTTTTCAACAAACACTGATGATATGACCCAACCACAATTAACACTACTAATACCAAAGCCATAATACTAAGTTACTTAAATTCCCTTCACATCCTTCAGCTCGGTCTTTCAAGTTACTTCTTTCCAAGTAATCTTCGTATCTACGCATTTCTTGTTGCCCACATCCAAGTTCACAAGAACAAATACTATAACAGAGACGGTAAATGTAGGTTGGCTGGATGATTTACTAACTTTCAAGTCAATATATCAGGGCCATTAAATTTGTGATAATTATGAATCCTGACAGCCCTTCTTGGGCTAACTAATATGTATACCACAACTGGCAGCCTCAGTCTATAGACATAATCTTATGATATTATTCAGAACTCTTTCAGCATAGAAGTAGAAATTAAGCTAGTCTATATTTTCAACAAACTAATCAATTCTATTGTTAAGTAACATGTACCAACCTATTCAGACCATGAGTTCACAGATCTGTGGGTAAAGATATTATTCCATGTCATAACAAACACCCAGTTACTTAAATTCTGTACAGCATGAACATACAGGTCTGTTAATGTTAATAATCTTCCAGTATTCATTTCTGGAACAGGAATATAGTCTGAATAAGCAGATGATAAAGTAACTGCAGTTTCCTAATGACTTGAAGAGGGAAGATGTCTCATTAGTAATTATGACTTGAGGGGAATGCTATGAAAACATGTTCATTCACACTTTCTGTGATGACAAGATTCATACATAAAACATAAATAAAAAACTGGCAACTGAAACATGAAATTATAATTACAATTCGCTCAATGTTTTAAAATATTGTAAACTTTTGATTAAAAACGTAAGCTAAAATAATGCCTGGGCTTGAATGAAAGCCAGCTACAAGGACAGGAAGTGTAAATATTGGTTAGATGTTAACCATTTCCTAATGCAAGTACTTTATTATTATGATACACATGTTTAAGTGCTGTGGCTTTAACATTAGCCTGTGTTTAAACTTTAACTGGGTTCTCACAGTGATATTGTAAATAGTGGCCTGTCTTATTCAGATATTTACAATATACCCCAAATTAAGAAAATTGGAAGCTGGAATGAATATCTGACAAGTCTGGCTTTTGGTTCTGTTGTTACAAGATGCTGTACAAGATGTAATATTTTGTTCCCACAAATAAAATTCTCTTAGCTAATAACAAAAGTTACCCTCATTTAAATGCTTGGAAGAATGCTTGATTCTGATGTGGCTGTTGCTGTGGAATATTCATGGAATGCTGGTGAGGCCAGGAAGGTGATATGCCCACCCCAATACTGCCCATTCCAGGAGAGACAACTGTAAGGGAAACCACACATCATATGTGTAATAACAACTCTTTAAATGTTTGTGATAATTGTTGATTGATTATTTTGCAATACTGTACAGTTTTCATTCTCTGAGGTTTTAAGATATATGTTTTTTTCAGAAGTTTCCTCTAACTCACTCCCATATTTTTGAGATTGGTTGCAACTAAAATGATGATTTAAATGTAGGATTTGAGGTTTTCACAGCGGTGATTATGAAGATTGCTGTCCTCTGGGTTGTTACGCCATGCAGTATGGTAGATGGTGGACATCTACCATACTACACGGCTTAACAACCCAGAAGACAGCAATCTTCATGATTTGAATGGTTTATCTCTCCAAGACTTCAACATTTATCATGGATGGAAAATTGGGATACCATTACAGCTCTTTACACATGTGGCTCTTGATGTGGAAGGCACCCAGGGCTGGATTTAAGGGGGGAGAACCTGGGGTCTCTATAAAACCCAAGATTTTGTTGATGGTGAAAAGTGCCCAAGTAATCATCTGCAGAAAATGATCACACGATTGGTAATTGCAATATAACCTAAATTTGTTGTTACTGATAGGGGCCTCCAAACTGTGATGGCACTGGGGCCCCCACAACAGTAAATCCGGCCCAGGAGGCATAAATCTTTTCCATGTCCATGCAAATACCATGTTTTGCAGAACTGGATAAAAATGGAAAACTGCAGTGGTGGGCTTTGATATTAGCAGTGTTAAATCTCTGAATTCTGTTACCACAGTATTCATCATTCACATTCTACTGCACTAGATGTGGCACAGTTACTTTATTAATAATCCAGATGTTACTTGAAATTCACCATTGCCAAACATAATTTGAAAAACCTATGAAGATTACACAAAAGACATGATATGAAAGGATGATTTTGTCATATACCTGGGAGCCAATTATTAGTTTGCTGAGGGTGCAGGGGAGATGTAGGACTGCTCACAGCCAGCTGATTCATGGAAGGAGCTGACACACCAGATCTGGATGTTCCTCGGAAACCAGATATGCTTAGATTGTCTACATCAATATTCAGACTGCCAGAGTTGGTCCACGTACTGCCAATCTAACAAAAAATCTTACACATCAGTGGTGCTAAAACATTTCTGTTTACAGAAACCTCTGAACCTAACAAAATGCAGACAGAAGCTCTCCCCACACATACAGCTACTAGATCAGTGGTAGCTCAGTTCTTGTATATAAGCAAATAAAACTCTTGTCGGTTACGTTATACTACGTAAACCAAGAATGCTGCATCAAAGTAGCACTAACACTGCCTCCTATCATAAAAACAGACTTGTGGCACATGACAATTTTCTATCACACACCAGTGATATCAAATCTCAATTTCAGATTCATATTAAGATAGAAGTTTTGCCATGGCAAGACAATGTAACTAGGCCTTCTGCTGGGTCTGTCTGCTTTCTCCTCATCCACCAATCTTGCTGACTGCTGTCAGGCAAGCAAATCACTTTACTGTTTACAGTACTACTACTAAATTATAATACTTACAATGAAGGACTGCAGAAAACCTAACAAACCTTAGTCAAGACCGCTATTATCCAAGGACTCAAACTGAGACCTTCAAGTGTGTTACTAATATGCAAACATGCTTCTAAGTTTAAATTCAATAATTTCTGAGGTGGAAATGTAACTGACATAATTGTACTTTTATCTCAATGTGACTTTACCTGGAGTTTTTCCTGTTCACTGGAAGGCACTGTGGTGGGTTGATGAAGCTGCCCTGGGGCTGGCTCAAGTGGCATACCTGTTGCACCAGACATAGAGCTCATTAAGTTCTCCTGCTTGCAGACAAATATATTTAACCTCACATACCTGAGGTTTTTTCCTGAAGAACTTAAGCCACATAATGGAGCTATTAAAAATATCTTTGCATCCTTCTCCCTTGCCTCATCTCTAACATAAACACTAACAGTGTGATGTACTCCAGTCCTACACTGTAGTTCAGATCCAGTTTCCAGCTGGAAGATCCCACTATCATAATCATCTGCACTAACATGGAGGAAAATTGATATCCATCATATACACTGGTCCCTCAGCTTAAAATGCCAGTGATTAATGATTCTCCTCCTAACTGTTCCTGCTACTGATACATTTTTGATTAATGACATATTTACATCATACAGCCCCCAATTTCAGCCAACTGGAGTTCTCCTAGGTGGACTCAGCAGGCTTCAGCTGTTCATACTATGTCCAATTCCATTTGAAAATCACACAACCCCCAATTTTAGCCAAATGGAGTGCTCCTAGGTGGACTCAGTGGGCCTCAACTGTTCATACTGTGTCAAATTCCATTTGGAAACAATATGTTTACTAGTAAACACACCTGTTCTTTGACAGATATTTTCTTAAAATAAACTACAATGAAATTGCCTATTCAGACAGTCTGCTTTAGCACTATAAAACCAGTTATAGTTATCTTCCAACCAGATCAAATACAGAGAAATGGTGAACACTGGTCAAAAGAATTTTATATATAAGATCACATCAAAAGGTAGCATGGGATATTCAACCAGGGAAGCCAGTGCAAAATAATGACACATGACTGGTACAGTAAGAGAAATAACATTAACAGTTTATTACTGTAAAGTAGAAAGATTAACATCATAAGTAGAACAGAATTAGTGTACCAACTGAACTGTGTGTTGCTCCAAGCCTGACGGTACACAATTTAATTTATTCTAATTTGCTAAATACATATGAATAGGAATAATAACAAAATCTGAAAATTAAAATCATTGATGAATGTTTGTTCACATTTTTATGACAAAGCGAAAATATACACAAAAGCAAGTAAGCACAGAAGCTAAAGAAAATATACTGTCATCTGAGTTCACAGTAATCACATCATCTTGAAAGTTACCTCACATATTACACTGCATAATACAGTGTCACTTAGTCTATAACAGTAAATAATACAGCAAAGCATCTATTAAAGACATATTAAGTAATATTTCATGACACCCTCATGCAAACTGAAATACCAAACAGTTAGGTTGAAACTGTCATTCCTGGATCAATGGTTCTCAAACCATGATTTGCAAGTATTTGGGATATACACAAACTGATTCAGGAAACTAACCACATGAGCTGCATAACAGCAGCTGTTTGTGCCATATTACAAGGTATTTACTTATGAACAACACCAAGCCACCCAATTTAGAATTACCAACAGGGAATCTTGCCTAAATCTAAATGACAAACTTTAAGAACAAAGGACATACCATGGAAACAGCTCAATATGAACATGGAGTAACACAATGCAAATGTATTTTAAAATGTGTTAACAAAATCAGAGGCTAGAAGATTTTCACCGATCAGATTTCCAATTAATGCTAAGAGATGTGCTGCAAACTCTCTGCAATCTGAATCTGGATCACCCTGCCTCAGTCCAGTTTTCATTACCTCAAGAAGCCACAACCTGCACTCCAATAATGATTCATATAAATCCAACAACAGAATTGACTTTGGCACGGCAATGACCACTGCTCCCACACACCCCATGACAGCAAGTCGAACTTTGGCTTGTGAATGATATCGTAACATCCAACAGAGATCCATTAGCTCCTTGCCCATTCGTACAGACAATGGACAATTGATGGATGAAGTCATCACTATTGCAATGGTGTGAAGAAAATGGACCAGCAACAAGCAATTGTGGTCTGTATACGAATTTCTCAGGAAGCAACTTTCCCCAAAGTTACTATTAAATCCATAAAGCAAAGGGAAAAAGAATGAACCAGCAACAGCAGAAAATTTATTTGCCTCACCAACAGGTGGAGGTTTTGGAGCTGACACAAACCTCCGAGTATGACTTTCTATTCGCCTCCTTACAATATCCTTGGCTGAGTTTGACAATGTATTTGGAACAAAATTTTCTTTTGTATTTTGTTTCCTATTCAACTTCATGCCAGTTCCAAACTGAGGATGTTTGGTATCTTTCTTGTCTTGAAAATGTGGTATTGGGACCTGTAAATTTGAAAGCTTTCTTGCAGCACCTGCCAGGCAATCAAGCATGAACAACCGCTGACCTATGGAATATTTACCAAACCCTGTATTGAACTGGGAACAGAGATATTCAGCACAAGATTCAGGAAATGTTGATAAAATAGCAACACATGCAGAGTAACGGTGGCCATCAAAATTGTCTGTACAGAACTTTTCCTCAAGACACACCAAGATTTCAAGAAGTTCAATACCCAGAGAGATATCATCATCTGGCAGCTGTGACAAAATGAGTGACTCACAGATCTCAAGGCTCTCACTAAAGCGTTCACAATCTTCAGTTTCTAGTAAACCATCACGGAGGTCACGTAAATATCTTGGTCGCTTCTTTGCTGAAACTTTTACATCACCTGACATGTCATATGGAATTAAATCATCATCACTGTCTAAGGTGTCATCACTGTCATGTTTCATTTGCCCTGTTTCACTTGTCACATATACAGACTTCCCTGCATCAATTTCACCATTCGTATCTACATTTACATCTACATTCATATTCAGATTTTTATCATCTTTTACAGCCAATGCCAAACCACATTCAGATTCAAGATGGCACAAAAGGTCATTTCCCAAAACAATATCAACATTTTCTATTTGTCTGCTGCAGTCTGTCTTGTTTTGAAAATCACACCTTTCACTATCCTGCTGTCCCTTCACTTCAACTACAATTTTTGTAGGACCCAACTTCTTCAGAGCTTTTACTATGCTCTCAGCATCTTTCCTCAAGTCTTCATATTCAAATTTTAGCTTTGGTTCATCATTTTTGTGCAAGATGCTGACAATTATCTCTGCTGTTATCATGCCTATCGCCCGAACAGGTTCAAACGGCGATTCCAAGTGAACTGGAATGCCCAAGAAAAGCTTACTCTCAATGAGTTTCCTGTCACATTCTTTAAGTGCACATCTTTCACAAATTTTTTCTGCTTCTAGAGCTGTCTGATGTGACACCTGAAGATAATGAATACACAAGATAATGGCCTGAGTGATGTATATATGCTGTTCTAGAGGTGTGTGGTTCAATGCACTTCCATCGCCCCAAACAGTTAAAAGGTTAACCAGTACATCAATCAACATTCCACCACTTGGAACAACTGGTACATCAGATGTAGCTTTTCTACAAAGATTTTCAAAATGCATGTATGCTAGACATCCTATGAGATTTTCAACAAATGTGCTATCTTCCCATTCATGATAAGACATCAAAAGCATCTTGGTACAAAGAATGTGTTTCCAGGTTTGTGACTGACGGACAATATTTCCAAGAATGTTATATACAGCAGACGGGCTTGAACATTTTTCAAGAATCATTCGAGCAATGATCACTACAGCCTCATGGTGCAAATTCAAGAACATATTTTGTACAACAGTGTGGTATGTGGAACACGAACACCAGTGTTCAAAAATTTTTATTAATGCAAGTAATCCAACTGATTTTCTGTCATCATTAAAATTAATTATTAATTTGCTCATAAGAACTGATAACACGTGTGATTTCAATGGAATGCATTTTTTATGAACTGCTCCAAACAGAAATTGTACACATTTTGCAATGTGACAACATAAAATTTTACAATATAAATCTGGTACAAATGTGTCCTTAGAGGCATATTTAATTTTGTTTGAAACTCTACTTGGCAATGATATCAACAACTGCACAACTTCTTCCCAGATTTCATCTAAACGATTCTGAACCATCACAAAATTAGGTTTCCTTTCACTGCTTACATTCCTGACAGAACAGTGATCTAGAACAGCAGATACCATTGACTCACTCTGCACTACCTTCTCTAACACATCAATTACAAAATCCAACTTCTGACTAGGCCCTTTAGCATCTCTCAAAGTTCTTGCTAGTACATGCAGTGCTTCATAGAACAAGATGATTCCACTTCCATCAATCACCATCAGCTTACTTATCAAAACTTCAGTTTCCACATCGACCCAATCAGGACTGTATCTCTCTAGAATAATTTCTAGGACTTGCCTGTAATGAAGCTCATAAAACTGGGTTAAATCAGATGATGGAACATCAAGACCTTGAAACTTCTGTGGTGTAAAGGGACCAGGCAAAAAATAAGTCAAAGATTTAATTAACTGCTTCATATTACCAGATTCGTCAGGTACCTTGAGGGCTATAAAACGACCTACAACTTCATAGATTTTTCTCTTAAGAGATATGCTATTAGTGACTCCAAAAGACTCCTGATTCTTTTTTTCCATGTTGTTATGAGATGACATCTTGAACTCCCTTGCAAATTGGTCTAAACATTCTGCATTTTCTTCAGGCATCTGCAAAGCTGGATTAACAGCTACAGTTGATGAAAGTGAATGGCTATCTTGATCTTGTGCTCTTGTTCCAAGTGACATATTTCCTTCTGATTCGTGACATCTCTGGGTAGCTGCAAGGTGATAAAGTTCACTGGGTGTTCCTCATTAAAGCCCTTGCATGTGTAACAGGATTAAGAGCACTGCACTAAAATGACCCCACTTCACAATAAAACAAAGTTACATATAAATGCTACCATATATGATTTGTAATTAATACAAAAAGAAACATACAAGTCACAATGGTCTGTAGCTAATCCTGTTTACATACTTCAATAATGACACCATATTGCAATGGGCTGATTTGCCAATGTTTTGGAGAAGCTGACCACCTCCGTCATCCAGGCAAAGTGATTAAACAAAGTGGCCCCGTGGTGATATTTATAGTTACCAGCAGTAATGGGAAATCCCCAGGCAACAGACCACTGTTCAGTCACTTTGCCATGTAGAATGAGATAGTCATTTTCTCTAAAATATCAGCAAATGAGTATTTATTACACTATGCCACAACATTTAAAGGCATGCGGTAAATGTGTGAACAGAACCATTATTCACACAATACCCCTGAATCTCTTTCCTACCAACAGGTAACAGAATGACTTACTCACCTGGTGAGGTGAAGGTCGCTTCTAGTGGATTAAGATTATGATTGGTAGTAAGCAATATGGCTGAATGAGCAGTGTTGTTTGCTAACGCTGCTGGTTGAACTGACGTGAAGACACCTCCAAGATCAGAAAGTAAATCTGTATCAGACTGACTAATACCTGGAAAAATAAATAAATAAAAATTAATACACTTAAATAAAGAAGCTGAATATTTACAACTACCAGCACTACCACTACTATGCTGCAATAAATAAAACAGTTCTTACCAAAAATTCCATTACTGCTTGGTATTGAAGCTGTGCTGCCTATGGTGCCAGAGTTGAACTGCTGATTACTGCTGCCAACAGTATTGGAAGACACAGTAACACCTTCACTGAATGCACTGCTAAAATCTGCAAACTCATCATTCACACCACTGCAGAACAAAGAAAAACACAATGTACTCACTAAACTTCCAACAGTAGCTCCTACTCCATGGACAAAAGTCATTCTTGAGCAGCATACTATCGCACAGCTGGGAAAGAAACTGCCCAAATTTATGGAACCAGCAATCGATTTCCCTGAGATCCAGTTTAATACTATCCTCTATCCATGCACGTGTCTTTGAACTGGTCTCCTCCCTTCAGGCCTTCCAACTAGTATTTCTCTTTTTGCTCTTCTTTTCCATGTATGCTACATCCCCTGTTCATCAAATCTACAGACTATAAACCACTGACCTGGTTGGTGACTGTGAATGATAAACTTGGAAAGGCACAAAAGCAAGCAATCATGGCCTACTCTTAAGGTGCTATCTCATTATTTGTCTGGACGACTTGGGAAAAACTATAAAAAAAGAAAGCCAAGTAGCCGGTCTATGGGCTGAGAAATGAACCTGGAACGAACCAAACAGAAAGTGTAAGTGCTGTCACTCACTTGCATTACCTAGTTTTACTTGATGCAGATTTTCCAAAAGCACTGGTGAAATCTCCAAACTCTCCTCCAGGTGAAGCATGAGAATTTTCTGATGCTCGAGGATTGAAGTCATCTTCATCGCCAAGACCTGGTGTTATATTTCCTCCCAGTATATCATTAAGAAGATCACCTTGTGCCTTGCTGCCATCCTGCTGAGTTACATTGGAATTTGACTTCACAGGACTGCTGTTCTGTAAGATACATAACAGCTGTATAGATAAATTTGTCCCTGTTCCAAAGCATTATGCCATAAAAGCATATAAGGGTCATAGAAGAGCTAGTCTGCATGCAGTGATGGCAGTTAGCAATCAAACACCAATCATCCACCTTGAGACCAGTCACTTTTCTGTCTACAATAAGCTCACCAAAATGGTAAAGTTGTAACTATGTCTATACACCACACCAAAATGAACGTAAATGGCAGGAAGGTAGCAATCCACACATTTTAGTCCTTACACTAACTGTACATGAAGGTGAGTTCCACGCTTCAGCTCTCTTTATCCCCTCAATAAATTGGTGGCTGGAAAAGCACCCAAGCTGCTCTGGAAGTGATGAATAAAAAACCTACTGGGAATCAAATTCTAACCACCAAACTTGAGCATTTTCCTACATTATATAAATTCACATTATACGGGGGTTATTTATTACACTGTAGTCAGAAGTCATCAAAAATAAGGTGGTGTTATGTTTGGGATTTATGTATGCTCTAACAAATCAGTTTACTTACTGACTGAGCTATTACAGCTAATCCACCTCTATAAAACAATAATATTGTAGGCATCTTAAAGTGCCAGGATCATGAAAGGAAAAAAAGGGATTAAAAAAGAAATAAAGGAAAGATGAAAGCATAAAGAAGAGAAAGAAATCATAAAACTAAAGAAAGTGAGAACAGAAAATATGTGAAATTTATAAAGTGAAGAAACAAACAGGAATTTTATACCTGCTCTTATAACTTACCAATGAATTTGAACCTCTGCCATAGTGTGCAGCAGCCCCTAGATCTATCTTCTTGACACTTGTAGTGGGTTTTGTTCTTGCTGGAGTACTGGGTTTACTGCTATGTTCCCTTTTCTCTGCAGAATCTAAACTATCACTGTCCTTATCCTTATACTCACGGCCTCTTCTTGTATGTGAGCCTCCTTCATTCTCAGAGTCATAGCGATCTCCATCATCACTAGAAAATAAGAAAGGAAAGGTGTACTCTCTGTAGTAAATTGACATTCTAAAGGCATTCTTCTCCCCACATGCATCGCTACTGGTACAAAGAACTCAAGAAGCACTGCTGAATTCAAACAGTAAGGCGGGTAAGCTACAGCTTGTTATACAGAGAAATAAAGATATAAAGTAATGCAGTCCTTCTTGAACTTAACTGTCCAATACATGACTGGCAACTCTTCAGCTCCTGCTCATCAACATCAACACCACTTGAAACACAAGCATCTAATCTGGTTGTGTAAAATATGATACCAGAGTCCCTGACTTTCAATTTTTATAAACCCAGAAAAATATTGCTAAATCAAAAACTACCCAAAATATTTTTGCAAAAATAAATTGTATTAAGCTACAAAAGTGAAGAGGAAGAATCAGCAGAAGCATCAAATACTGATTAATGCTAGCTAACTGATGTAACATTCCCCACTGCTATATATCTAGGAGTCACCTGAATTTTGTTTGAATAAAACAACAGCAGAGATACTACTTCAGGAATTTTAGTCATTGTACTCATCAAGAAAAAACTATTAAGTTTAAGGTTTTCATGGTTATTTGTAGTTAATCTTGGATCTATTCCTTCCATTCTACTCAACCTGGGTAAAACATAATTTTTCTTATGTCTCACTATCTCCCTTGAATCACAGTGCAGAACTGCTAAAAAGACAGTTCAGAACTATAAAAATATGAAGTCACTATTTAGTAAATTTGTTTTGAAGATAAAAGCACTTTTGTGGTTAGGTCAAGCATACAAATAATATTCACACACATAAACACAAAATGTTACCTGTTGTTTCCCATGTCCTCAAAATTCCTGTTCCCATGTCTGTTGTTTCCCCGAGAAATTCCTCCCCCTTTATCTGGATCCCAATCACCAAATTCATCCTTTTTCCAACGAGGAGTGTCATCCCATCCACTATTGCCACCTGTACATAAATATTACTACATACATAATGAAACACTCAGAAAAATAAGAAGTATACAATGACATAAACTATCAGCAATTATGGGTCATGTAGCACTATGACTATACTGTTATGTAATGGAACATCATTTCAATTAGTGACACACATACAGAGCCAGATTTTTGGTTGCTTTCCTACACATAATTGCAATCCAATTCAATTTTTTGTGAACGATGATTATAAAAGCAATTCATAATTTGTGCATTTGAACAAAAATTTTGAATCTGATAAAAATAATGTATTTTCTTTAGATTACCAGAGCCATGCTCATTAAACACAGAACATTTCTTCATTAACCCTCTGCCATCGTTATTCATCATGCTCTTTTCTAAGCCTGTAAGACCACGTATTTGAAATGGCCTTTTAACTATTAAATCAGCACTGTGTAAAATGCAGACATTTTTAAAATCATAAATATCTCAGAATCCGCTATTTATATCAGAATAAAGCTTGGTCAGCATGCTTACAAGACTCTGATGATTATGTTTTGGCACTTATGCCCAAGTTGTGCATCAATTTTGAACCTCAATGCCTGTTTCCTAATGGTAATCCAAAAAGCATCCTAACCAACAAAGTGGAAGGTCATATTGTTTGCACTTGTAGGATGTTTGTCATGTCCTAATGGTGCCCATATTTTTCTTTGAATACACAATCCATAAACTTTTTCCCGCCCCGTAATTTTTTTTAAGCAGCGGAGCAACCTCAGTGATACTGTCCCCATTGGTAAACTCCTCTTCCTGCCTATACGCTTACGTGACGTGCGAGTTCTGATTAGTTCATGCACTAAATTTTTCTGATGCATCAGCTGCCTGTTGCCATGAGCAGCTAGGGATGGTCTACTTGTTGTGTAATATAAGATGAAACTATTCACAATACATACATTTAAAATAAAACACAAATGCCCACCACATTTTAGTTGAACGACCAACACCATAGTATTCACATAACTGATCACTTCCAATATAAGCATCAGCCTCTTCTGCATTTGTTTCTTTCCAGTTAGAGTCATTTACACCAGATTTTCTATGTGAGAAAGCAGAATATGTGTTTGTTTCATTTGCTACCATCTCAAAAAAGGATCTGTCTACAGACAAACTAAAACAATCATTTTCATTGCATCCAGCAGGGAAATTATGGGATCAACCTTGTCCATTCTTGAAAGAATCTAGGTCATCAAATTCAAAGTAATGTCCCATTGCAAGTCATTTTTTCATTATGTGTGTATGACAGAATAATTTCCATATCTTGCACTGTTCCAACTTCTTCCTTTCTTTCACTATAACCATCACTTTTTGAACTATCTTCCAATATACAACCAACTGCACTATCAGACAGAACACAAGAAACACCAGAATCAGATTCAGAACTTAAAGCCACAGCCTTGATCTCAACACTGAAATACAGCTAAGATGAGCTAAGTTAAACCAAAAACAAAGACGCTATGAGTTTACAATGATGTCAATGTTATTGTTTATTAGTTAATTATTGCCTCACTGGTGCATCTTATGCAGGGAAGATAAGTTGGAAAGGCAACAGCCACATTCAAGCGAACTCAAATCTGGCACGAGATAGCATCAAAATCCATTTTGACATGGAGTGTTTTAGAGCATTAAGGAGAGCGCAGCAATTTAAATGGCTGAGCGTTCTAGAGTGCTATATCCAGCAATGGGTTAATTTCAGAATACTGTAAATGTCTGCTGGTGAACTTCTACCAGATTACAAGGTGCTTCAACCCAGAAGACAGCCATCTTCAGAATCTCTGCCATGAAAACTTCAAATCCTACTAAATGTGATCACGTTTCTTATGCATATCACATGTGTTAATTATTTTATATACTTTGTTAAGTGTGTGTTAGTGCCCTACCTTTGCTTTAATAAAGGTAAATTATCATTTTAAATTTCACTTGCCCACAATCCCCATTTAAAATTTTTCCACAATTTAAGGTACAAAAGGATGACCTCACAACAAATGATGAATTCAGATATACAATATACACTATATGGTAAAGTGTGGTTCAACTGACCATTACATTAAAATAACTTTTTAAAGTTCTGTCTTTCAGAAAATGAGCATGTAATATTTGAATAAAATGAGTGGGTCTTACCAAATCTCATGCCCATTGCATCACTTGACATCCCAACATATTTATCTTTGTTCTTCTTTGCTTTCTTTCTTTCTTCTCTAAGCTTATCATCATCTTGAATGAAGTCTATCAGTTCATGAACTTTGTGCCTAAAAGAGAGAATGTAAATATAAACTGATAAATGCATGAATTTCAGACAGCAGTAACCATCACACCGAAACTCACCAGTACTATAAACTTGTATCACGTGGTGTTTAAATATGCCAAAGAATTTTTAATCCCTTCAACTTGACTTTAAGTTTAGATGTGTATTCCCTACAGATGACAAAGAGAAGTCATACAGTTTAAGGGTTGGGTGTGAGGCCAACAAGTGTTTTCTCAAAAGTTGTGGTGTGTTACAAATTATTCTGTAGGGTCCCTCATACTGTGGGGGTGATTGAATCAAAGGTATAAGATGGGTGGGACACTTAGCACACATAGTGAAATGAGAAATTAATACAGTTTTTGTTGAAAAACTCAATGGAAAAGACCTCTTGAGAGACCAATAAATGGTACAACGGTGAGCTATCATGGTGATTTGGAGGGGGGGGAAACTCGCATTCCTGGAAGTACCAGTTGCCTGTGACCGAAATGTCAAAGAATGTGGTTACTTCTGACCAAGGTTCACAGACCCAGAAATGTTCATGTCATGTGTAAACATTCTTACAGCAGATACATTGCACACTGTCAACTACATGGTTGCATAGAAACTTGACTGAGCAGGATACATAAAATGGCTGCTGTTTCACTGATTAAACTGACAATGTCGTTTAAAATATTATGCACTTACCTTACATTTATTCCCTGATCTTTCCCATATTCATCAACATAAGTATAATTCTCAAGACTACGAAGATCATAGATGTGTTCCCTTGCTGAAGTCACAACACGCTCAGAACCATTGCGCACCAAGTAATTCAGCAGTAGCAGTGACTAAAACATATTAAAATGTATCAGAGAGTAAAACATATTAGGGCACTGAGGACTGACTTCAACTTCTACAATTCAACACACTCAAGAAGTTGAATATAATACAACTGGACCACAAAGTGAGAAAAAGACAGGACTGGAAATATGATGAATGCAAACACTTTTATAACCAAATATTTCAAGGCCTGAAGCATATATATAAGAATTTGCTCTCAACAGAAGTTACGGTGGTGGTTGTTACACATTTCAACAAAGACTGAATTGTTCAACCTTTAAATGATTAATTACTTAATGTATAACATTTTTCCAGACTTCTTATGTTTATTTTTGAACAATTCCTTATTGTTCCCATACTATTTGTACTTGCTGTAATATCTGTATCTTTCATGCTTTGTCTCCTTTCCAAGCCTTGCCTGCAAGTAGCATTTTTGCTGTTGTCAATAAATTAATTGAATTATTATTACTGTTCTTGTTATTGCTGGTAGTATTATTACACTAACCAACCAACAGAAAATACATATATTAAATCAAAACAAAGATTGACCTTACTAATCCCTCAGTGTGTTTAGAGTTCAGACTTGTCATCCAATGGTGTACAGCTAAATTTCCCTGATATGCTTTATAGTTACCTTGTAGGTCCTTCTCCAATTCTTTTTATTATCTTGCAACATTCTCTTCCAAAGCATTGTCATAACTTCAGGAAAATGTTCATATGTGAATGTTCCTTGTGCAACCTCCTGCATGAGTGCACCTGCATCCCAATAAAAATGTTAAATACAATGGTGTACATAAACCATTTTCATTACTCTAAAATTACTATTCTCAAGAACTTATAATGTACCTGTAGGGCCCCAGGCATCGTCATTAGTTGCTTCTCTTACTTTGGCTTCGATTTCTGTGTAGTTCATTACAACATTGGTGCTGGAAAAAAAAAGTTATAAGAAAACAAATGAAGAAAATAAAACAACTGTACGACTTCCTCAAAAATACCATCAATCATTATTCACTTCGCAAAATTTCCACAGATGTCTTGAAATTATACTGAGATAACAAAACATTCCAGTTCTCAAAGGAATAAACATTCGCTATAAACCCATACGATATATTAATACTTACACTTTATCAGCTATTTCTCTGACTTTCCACATTCTGAAAATTATAAATGAAACCAAATTAAATATTTAGTAATAAGTAATATACTGTAACAATTTGGATGATCATGGATTATGCCATTTAATGCCCACTACCTCAAACTGTCACGTCTAACAGCTGATATGTTCAATATGGCTACCGAGATCGGAAACGTCATCATTCATTGATAAGATAATCATCCATAAGTTTGTATTGGTGAACTGCTTTCCATCTAGTAGTGATATTAGTATACCAATTCCTATGTTTTCGGCCTCGTTGTTCGCAACACGATGTGGTGGTTACCAACGTTTGGAAGAAAAAATTCGACTCCAGGTTTATATACAATCTGAACGACTAGGGTTTAACTCTGAACATGTGGGCCACATCGTTCCGAAAAATCTTATCGCCACCAGCTTTAAATTCAGCTCTGAAATAAGCAAATAAAGTATAATTCTAATGAACAGGAGATCGTTCCTGGGAGCCTCTAGTGATCATTTACAATACTATACGGTGTCACAACCGAGGAAACATTAGTATCTTATTCTCTGTGCCTAAGAACGATATTTCCAGAACTGTGACAGCTTAAAATCTCAAAAAATTGTTTTAAACAGCTTATATCTGAGTTAAGATCCCCTCTTTACTGTAACCCTATTTTACGATTGAGTGTATTTTCACAGTGTTGACAACTGAAATAATGAATTAACTTTTTAAACGTAGCTATACGTTTTCTATGTTTCCAGAACCATTGAAATTGTATAATCAATGAAGGTTCGCAACATTCGTGTGCATACTTGATATTGTAGTAAATTTATTGAATAACATACATTCGTTAAAGTAGTTACTAGCGTCATTGTTCTCCCGAAGAAAACAACAACAAAAGAATGCTTGCAATGGCAAGATTTTTTATTACAGTTTCCAGGACGAATTAGATTTTTTCTAATTTCCCGGCGCCCCTTGTAGTGCCATCGCAGAATGTGACAGTTGACGCTTAACACTTGCTAGTGCAAAAGTTTTTGTGGTTGATGTGTTGAAGTTTGTGTATTTTAGGAGGTTGGTAAGAATCGAAGTTTGTGGTGTTGGAATTTCTAGAGAAACACAACTGGAAGTGGTTTTCGTGTTCTTGTAGTAATAAATTGTGTATTCTTACTTTTCTAGCTCAAACGTCAATTATATCTTACAATTATGAAAAGAGTCATACTGTTCAGAAATGGAACTGAAGTTGATGGGAAGGTATTGTACTAGATTGAAATATATTGTGTTTAGAGTAAACTTTGCCTGCATTGGGTTTAATACTTGTTCACCCAGTTTCTAGTGTTTAACTGGCATGTGTTTTATTTTATTTTAAGGTTTTACTTGTTACTCATTCTCTTGAAGAACTATTGTCTTCTGCTAGTACCAAGTTTGGAATAGTAGCAAAACGACTATTCACAGCCCAGGGTGGTGAAATTGATGATTTGAAATTAATTCGGTGAGTTCCTCCTTCCAACATCCATTCCATTTTATCATTGGCAGTCATCCTATCATTTGGTGTTGTGTAATATACACAATCATACAGGAAAATATACCAAACAGTCTGTTCTTACAACTGGCCATTTCCTGAATATTTGGCAGTCATTCCAGCATTTGGTGTTATGTAGCTTATGCAGTCAGACAGGAAAAAGCAGCCAAACAATCTTTCTGCTTTTACAACTGGTTATTTCCAGAATATTTGCATACCAAATTCTGTACACACTACTTGGCTGCCTCTTTACTACCACATCAGTATAAATTATTGTCCTTGTTCCGCAGAGATGATGATATTCTGTACGTTGCAGAAAGTGAGAGTTTCATTCCAGTAGGATCAACAATCAGAAGTTTTCCATGTATGAACAGTCAGTCTGCATCACTGGTGACACCTAATGACAGCAGCACTCCACTGTGTTCAAAATTAAATACAGAATGGGTTACTTTGAATGTTGGTGGCAAATACTTCACAACTTCAAGAAGTACCTTGATGACCAAGGAACCAATGAGTATGTTGGCTAGGTTAGTAAATGATAGCATTTGTTTAGTATTGATGATGCTGGTTATAGGGCACAAAGAATGACTGTTAAGAATGCATGATCAGCTTGCACATATTCAAAGGACAGGCTATCCTCCATTTAAACATTTTGCTGTTCATTACTTTCTCACCACTTTTTTTTTAAATAATGCAGTTTTAAGATAAAAATATGAACAGTTTTCAATATTTTGTTTTTAAAATGTAATGTAACAGCATTTTCATATAACTTCAGATGCTTTGTACTAGGTGGCACCACCATGCAGACCAACAAAACTGTGCTTTTGTAGCTCAGTGAATGAAACTGAATGATGCAGCAAAAGGACAAGATTATGTCTCAAGGGATGCTTGTTCAACTTCAATTGAATGTTGCAGCAATAGGGTTAAAATATATGTGTTTATTACTACTGTGATCACCACTATTTCTGTTATATTCATTGTCATTATAATTCAATAGTGGATGTAATATTTATACATGAAATAAGTTTCAAAAGTACATGTACAAGTACAAGTGTATGCAAAGAAGAGTTCTTACAGAGCATTAGTCACAAAATTAGGTGTTGGTTTGTCAACATTTGTGCAAGATGTCTATGCCTTATTTCTCTTAACAGAATGTTTGCAGAAGGAGACAATGGTTTCATAATGACACCAAGTAATGTTGATAGAAATGGAGCCTACCTTATTGATCGCAGTCCTACATATTTTGAACCCATTTTGAATTACCTCCGAAATGGACAACTAATTTTTGATAATAATGTTAATCCTGAAGGTAGGTTGTGTGCTGTAATCTTTACATTATTTATGTTATATTTTATTTTTTGTTAATCTACTGTTTTTTTATCTTCTCACCAATGTGTATATTTTATAACTGAAGATATGGTGGAATATCCAGTTGATATTTGGCTATTATGTATTTGTGTGAAATTTCAAACCCCTAGCTCCACTGACTCATTAGTTATCAGTATCACACCAAAAGATAATTATAGATTTTGTGTGACTATCATGATGTGCTTTTACATTCTATAAGAAGTTATCAAAAGAAAATTTGCGTATTTCTCTAAGATGTAGCACCACACAACTTTTCTTTGTGGTCTTAGTGTTGCTCCCATCTCGGTAATAAACACTACCAACATGTTGATGTGATACATAATAGGAAACACGAGAGTATAGTAATGGGGTGACCTTCAGTATTGTGTTATGAAAATGTGTTAGTTGGTTCGAAGGTGTTGGGGATGATCAGACATAATATCATAAGCCTGTCTGGTCTTTCAGGCCAGTAAAGCATATAAAATTTAGTAAGAAGTGACATATTCTGCTAATCTGAATTTACGTAATCTATCTGAACATTGTTGCTAGGAATTCTTGAAGAAGCAAGATTTTTTGGGATTGAGTCTTTGGTTCCACAGTTGGAATCTCTAATTCAGAGCAGTCAGCGGTCTCGTGATAATGTACCTCTGACAAGACGAGATGTAGTGAATGCTCTTATTTTAACACCATACACTGCAGAACTGAGGTTTCAAGGAGTCAACCTTGCTGGTTCAGACCTCTCACGATTGGATCTGCGCAACATTAACTTCAAGGTAGGATAAGAATGTCCCAGATATAGCATCGTTTAATGTAAAATGTTCCCATCACCATATCTGCCTTTCTCCTCAGTTCTCATTTTGTATTGTTTAACCAAACCCCACTCAAAAAGACAATTTGAAGAATAATATAAAAGCATTTGCATTTCAGTGTGCACTAGACTTTTACAACACAATTCCTTTGTAAATCAGATCCTATTTACTTTTATTTCAAGATAAAGTCATGTCTGTGCTTCAGCAACAGGCCATGAAGATATATTTGGACTGGAACTTGTGCACTCTTAACCTTGGCAGAATGGTAACATCAGTCGTCAGCTACATGCCCCAGTCACTTTACTCCTGAGGAAGTAGCTCTGAATTAAACACTGTGCCATTCAGTCACTTTAATGACTGAGTTGTCCCAGTTAATATTTTTTCATGAATGGTTGTTACAATTCTGACCCCAACTTTTTGGCATTCTTTATGCTTTAGTATAAGCAAAGAATGTCTTATGGGCTCATTTTGTCTGTTTATCAATCATGTATTGCAGGGAACAAGATCATGCTACAATCTATTAGTTGCAGTGTGAAGTGTTTGTGCTGTCATCTCTCAATGGTCCTATGAACTGTTTGATATCAGCCATTAGATGTATGATAACTGATTGTGATATGCATCTAATAGGGCTGCTGTTAACATAGTTTCTAAATAATCTAAACAAATAATCTTCATATAAATATTGCAAGACTTTGCCCCCTCTCCTCACTATTTGAGCTCAGTCAGAAAACATGGTCTCAGGTTTTCTTACATTCATAATGTAACATAAGAGTATAGGATTTAGGAGTATGTCATTGTTCTCTGCACGTACAAATAATTACTGCTATTAGAAAGATGTCATTTACCTCAATATCTCACTCTGTGTATCGGCAACCCTGAATTATTTATGTTGTCATATTTCATTAATGATATTGCAATTTGAGTAAGTTACTACTGCTCCTTTAAAATCTCCCAGTTTAGTTCCAGCAATGATATTTATATGAATACAGTCCATTAAAAGATTCAAACAAGGTATTGGGTGGCTGTTATGATTTCATCATTAAACCAATCAAAATCATTCAGTCTGAATACTGTCAGTTATTTTTTAAAATGTTTCAGTGGTATTTTGCTGTAGAAATGTTAGCATTTTTGAGAACAGGAGAACAAAGATGCCAGTCATCAGATCGTGCACAAACTAGAGACTCAGTGTTTAATCTGTTTAATTTTCTAAATAAGTGGCAGAGAACATTAGGTCTGTTGACAGGACAGAGGAATGCACAGTTGTATTGTAGTGTTATAATGTATGACAGTCAAGTTTAAGTGGAAGGTCTTGTGACCTCCCACTGCTCTTCTAGGACAAAATAATTTGGTTTGCTGCGTGGTAAGTATCATGATTGGTGAATATTTCAGTGGGTTCTTACAGAAAAATTACTTAAAATTATCAATATTGGACATTTTATAGTAAGTTCATATATTTTATTGACTTGTGCAATAGTGATTAGGAACTTTGGATAAATGTTTCTAGCTCAGGCTATCAACTTCCATCGACAGGAAACAACACACTCACTCTAACATCACTTATGCTTCCAGATGTTTTGTGCTTATTTTAGTGCAGTATCAATATACTACTTGGTATGTTTTCAGTATGCATGTCTCCATGGTTGCCGGATGGTTGGAGCAAATCTCAGTTGGTGTTGCTTGGAGAGGGCTGACCTATCACATGCTCAGCTCGAAGGAGCACAACTTCTAGGAGTGAAAATGCTTTGTGCCAACCTAGAAGGTGCCAACCTCCGAGGCTGTAACTTTGAAGATCCAGCGGGCAGTAGGGCAAATATGGAAGGTTAGTAGAACTTCCACATTCCAACTGTGCAAGCCAATACGTTATTTATTTCTTGTCGTATCATAACACCAATGTGTTTCAATAATATAGTGCACTGTAATTACTTTGTTTTAGGCTTATTTTTCTGATGTAGAAGATGAAAAAGTAATCAAAGAATCATTATAATTTGTATTTCAGTAAACTATTATTATTAAAAAGTTAATGATTACTTGTATCTGAAAACTAAATGAAAACTAAATTCATGACAGTATTGAATTTTTAGTGTTATTGGCTTTAATTTTATCTTTTCAGTACATTTTATTATATTTTGATTTTAGCCAATTAATGTTAGTTGTACTATTTAATTACCAGAGTTTAAGTAGATGCTGGTAATTATTTTATTAAGCTTCAGACATGCTGAAATTGATGGTAATATGTTTTTTTTTAATTCTCTGCAAATCATACTTTAGCATCTCTCCACTGCCTAGTTTAACAAATGAAGACATGATGCTATAATCATTATAATCCAAGAAAATGAATATTAAGTGTGATGAAAATGAACTGACAATGGTTTTGGTTAGTCTAGTTTTATGTTTAGTAGCCATAGATGGTGTTTTATTTTATGAATTGGCAGCACTGCACTCTGTATCTGTAGTAGTTGAGTAACTTTAAATCATTGACTTAGTTGACCTGTGTGTACATTTTACTGAGGCAAGAATGCTATGTTTGATCTTTAAGAAAGTGTTTCCATGTCTGTTCATACGAAACTACTGGATAACGCTTATAAAGTATTTAACAATGTTGTTTGACATATTACAGGTGTCAATCTGAAGGGTGCAAACTTGGAAGGCAGCAACATGGCTGGTGTGAATCTTCGTGTTGCCACACTGAAAAATGCAAACCTTCAGAACTGTGATTTACGAGCTGCAGTGTTGGCAGGAGCAGATCTTGAGGTACATATTCTTTATTGTCCCTGACCATTATTTTTATATTTACATATGCATAATTAGTATTTGTGATTTAAGCATTATTTTTATATGTTGTAAAGAATTATGTGGTTATAGTAACACCATATCCGTGTACTTTATGATTAATACTTCTTGCTAGCACCACCAATGAAACATTTATAGGATACTGAGATTTCAGGTTCTCACAGTGGCAAGTATGAAGATGGCTGGCTTCTGTGTTCTAGTGCCATGTAGTTTGGTAAATGTTTACTGGTATTTCAGAGGTGCTTACTGCCTCAATCACATCTATGTGTCTGTCTCTGTTTATTATTCCATAGCTTTAAGTCAGTCACTTCTGGTCATGTCCTTTCTATCTGTTCCGTATTTGGCCTTACTTGGTCTATCCACCATGTTTTTGGTTATCCCACAACTCACTTTCAGTTGTGTTTGCCATTTTGAGTAATCTTCATTCACTTCACATCATTTAACAACTTAAATCTGTTTGTTTAAATTCTTTTGTAATTTATCCATTTTGAGTGTGTGCTCAGTTAGCCCTATCAGGTTTAGCAGGAGAAATAATTCCTACAAAAAAAAATTATGTGAATATCTTTTCCTTCATGTTTTTCCATGATAGAAGTAACTCACATACTTTAAAATTAAAATATTTAATAATTTGGACTTGAAAGAGTAACCAATATAAACTGTAGTTTCTCAAACATGCTTACTCTGTTTCAGAATTGTGACCTCTCGGGCAGTGACTTACATGAAGCCAATTTGCGAGGGGCAAATCTCAAAGATGCAGCATTTGAACTAATGTTAACACCACTTCATATGTCACAGACAATTCGTTAGTTGTGGTGTAAAATTCTTACATTTAAGTGGCGGATTCAAATCCTTCATACATGTAAAACTCAAGAACTGTTACTGGAGTAAATCATTTTATATATTCTGTGCAAGAATGTATCATGAGAATTGTAGAACTTGTAACAGATTTACTACTATTTGGATTTAAAAACTAATTGCATGCCTCTGCTAGTCAGCATGTGTATTGAGAGTTCTTATACCCCTGACACATGTATCACATACACTAAAGAAATATACATCTTTTTTATGCTTTCAAACATGTGTCTCGCTTAAAACAACATAACTTTATGAAAGCAAGGATGTTCTGTTTTGTTGGTCATCAAGACCAAGTTTCTGTGGTACAAGATCTTTTTTGAGCAGTTAATAATAATTCAGCCAGTTAGGAGACTGCCTAATTCAATATAACTTATGAATTTGTTATATTGTTTATAAAAAAGGGTATCCTGAGATGGTTCAGTCAATTTTACATCTTGTTTACTGTAAGAGTTAATATTATCCTCCAATCTATACATTAGTCTCTCAAGTGATCTCTCATGGTTTTTAAACTAAAATTTTGTATGTATTTCTTGTTTCCCTTATGCATGCCCCATGCCTTACCCTTCTCATCCTTCTAGATTTAATGACCCTTACAGTATTAGATGATGAATACAAATTCTAATGTTCTGTGGAGGTGGTATGTGATGTATTTTAAAATGACCACTGAATTTTTAATTCAAAATATTTGGCAATAAATGTATTAATAGTGAATGGTTCAAGGAAGTGTTTTTCCTTAATTGTAAAGGGATGATTGTATACTTATCACTTTCTTCATATTTGCATGATTTTTTTTTTCTTCTTCTTCCGAGTCAAACGAATGTTGTACCTGATAAATCTTCTGTGTGTCTCAACTCAACTACCATGATGTGACATAGTCTGTGTTTAGAAAGTATCCAGTCTGAGTTGTATTTGTGTCTTAGAGTTGTGACTTTTTCATAATAATGTCTTGAAAATGTATAAAATTGAAATGAGTGATTTGAGTAATGTCATTGACTATTTGATGTTATGATCTAAAAAAATTGTGACAAGCACATTTCTTGTTACACTTCATAAACTGTAGATTCAGTATTTATATAATATTTGCTATATAACTGTCTTGAAGTAACTTACAGGAATTTGTGTATTGCTATCGGAATATTTTATAATTGTGATATTCACTACCCACAGATCTGACTCAGTTTCTGTAACACACACATTTTATTTATCACTAGATACATGCATGTTTGTATTAATATATTTTTACACAAAAGCACTACTTTTAATTTCCTGATGAGAAAGAGTAAAAATGGACACCCCAGTTTACATATTATTTTGGACTGCATTTTTTGCAATTTTGTATAATTCATTGGTCTTCATGTTTGTTTATTGCTGTTCTATTAAGGTTTATTTACTGTTGTGAAGTGAGTCAGAGTTTATAGAGTTATAAATTATATTTGATTTAGTTTTGTTATTGAAGAATGTTTCTAATTGTATATTTTATGTTGTGTACCAGTTTCTTGTCTTTAAGTGTATTGGGCTAACATGGGCCAAAATTAAATATTCCCAGTAGTTTTAGACTGCCAGTACCAGATTTTCATGTAAATCTTTGAGTTGTATCAGCTGTAAAACATGGATAGACTGATATGACGTCTTACTGTGAGTTAATTTTATGCTGTTTTTGCATGGGGCACACAAAAATATATTTCAGCAGCCTTCAGCTAATTTTACTGCCATTAATGGTTTGAGTGGTAGGACATATATGCATATGGTCTGTGCCACTTTAACATGGAGACTGTTGGTTTGAATCCTGCACATGGCATGGATCTTTGGCCAGTTTTTTGTTCTGTTTAGGAAGAGACCATGGTGGTGAATATGAAGATTTATTTCATCACCAAGGGAGTCTTACTTGGCATTGAGGCTACCATCTAGATTAGTGACTTATGTTATGATTTAGTTTTAAATATTGAATTCTTCAGAGTGATCATAACTTAGTTAGTCTATGTTGTGATTTTGTTAAATTTTAATTTTTTACAAATGAACTCATCCTATAATGCAAGGAATTGAATAGAGAATATAAACTGTATTACCTCATTTAAAATGTTATTTCAATGGTGTATTTCATTGCATTAGATTAATGAAATTGAACATTATGTTCCCTCTTCTGTATTTTGTTGTAAAAAGGAAGTAGGTAGAACACTCTGTCAGAGCAGTGTCTTATTCTTATATATACATATATATTTTTTGCCCTATTGTATGTGTTTATTATGACTGTAATTTATCATTTCACTATATACATATAACAGATACTTATCTTTCAGAATGAAGTAACAGTTTCATAATACACTGACTAAAATGTTAAACACAACGAATAAATTTTGTATATAAATAGTAGTATAGAATTTTCAGTTAATTATAGCTATAAAACATTTGATAATTTGTGTCATTATTTTTCCCATTAATTCAGTCTGTTAAGGTTAAATGTCTGTCAGGAGGCTGTATATTGAAAGATTGGTTGTGTAACTTCTTTACATTCTGATGCATCTTTTAAGTGAATAATCAATGAAATAGGAGTAGTAGGATATTCTGTAATGGATTACACGTATTTTCTGAGTGTTTTCTTTGCAGCTTTGTTAGTGGTAGTTGTCCATGATGTTTTATTTATTGTAGATTGCAGTACTAATCATGCTACACATATAATGAATAGAGCTACAACTTACTTTTTATTGTAGTTCATTAAATATATATCATATTAAAATATTCTGGGATAAAGAGTTGCAAATCTGAATGAAATATATATTTTATGTGCACATTTCTTTGGATCATGAAACAGTTTTAAAAAAATTATATGCTAAATTTCAGCTTCATGTAAAGTGAGGGTTATATTAGTTTGTTATAAACCAAAATGAAGTTTTCCTGACTGCTTTCAGTGTAGGTAAAAAGCCATCTTATTGCACTCCATGAAGGCACTCTGGGGAGAGGCAGTATAGCTCCTATTCATTCTTAACCTCAGCAATAGAGGGGGTGAGCGGTCAGCATCACTCCCTGGCCATTCTTTACTCCCAGATAAAGAACAGCTGGTACCCAGTGAGCCCTACAACCAGGCTGGATACAGAGGCTAGAAGAAAATCCTCTGCCCCTGTTGGGGATCAAACCCTGATCATCTAGCTTCTAGTCAGTTACTATACTGACTGAGCTACATGGCTCCAGTCTTTTAATGTATACCCTTACAATACTCAATTTCATAAAAATCTTTCTGGAAAGGTTCAGTGATTAAAAAATAAAGAACTTGGGATGCAAAAGACACCAATGAACTTAAAATGGAAAAGGAGGAGATAAACTGAAAGAAAGTTAACTACATGACACACACACACACACACACATAGGATGCAACCAAAAAATAAAAATGTACAGCAGTGCAAAGATGAAATCAGAAGCAGGACTACCTGCATGGAAGACTCCCAACTTCCACTTTGACACTTGAGTCAAGATCACCCAGGTTGCTAGGCTCTTTCTCATTTCATCTGTCCGAAGGTTATGCAGGCTGCAAGAATTCGGTATCGCCGACCTGTCCTTACTCAGCATCGGCCCGTAGCACCCCACTGGGGACACGCTGGCTCCTTGGCCACCACAGTCCACGAACCCGGTGCTCCCACACGTAGCCGACCTGTCCTTTCTCAGCACCACACCAGACCTCTCGTTGGCTCCACTCTCTCAACTCTACCACACACTTCTCTTACGCCCGATTCACAGCTCTGTTCTTTCCACACTCATCGCTTATCGCTTGCCACCAATGTCCGCAACAGCATATCGCTTACAACTCACTTCTACATCCTGACTCACACCTTAGCTCTTTCCACACTCTCCTCAAAGCCGCTTGTCAATCGACTTTTAAACAAACGCAACAATGTCATTAAACAGACATAATTATAAACGAATACAACAATGTCAAACGCAACAATGTCTATAAACAAACACAACAATTATAAACGAATACAACAATGCCAAACGCAACAATGTCAATAGACAGACAACTAAACTGTTTATTGACATTGTAGTGCTGCTCTCACGGCAACACGTCACACTACTCATTGTATAAGGATATGGATTTAAATACTGTAAGTAGTAGTTTAAGCATCCATATATTTAATAAACTGCCTATCATTATTTAAATGTGAAATTGACAAATTCATAAATAAATTATAAATTGCTAGTTCAAGACAATTTTTAATACTACTATAAATTGCCTTAATTAGATGGTAAGCATTTAATTTTTAAATGAGGCCTGTCATTCAATTTTGTTTCTGTATAATATGGGACTGTCTTTTAAACTGGTCTAGCGGTTAGAACGCTGGCCTTGTAATCCTGGGGTCTCGGGTTCGATTCCCGGCGGTGCCCGAATTTGTAACTTGTGTTGGGCAAGGCCGTGGTCTAGGCAACACGGAGTTTTCCTCCGGGGGCTTCCCCGGTTTCTCCGTGGCATCCCAACAATTACTCCATTCACACTCACACAGAAGAAGGCAATGGCAAACCACTTCTGGCTCATCTGCCAAGAACGTATATGAACAGGTCCCAGTCCGAGAAAAGGATGGAAGTATCCTGTTCATATGGACCTGTCGTCAGACAGAACACTAAATAATAATAATAATAATAATAATAATATGGGTACAGCTATTGTTAAAAAATGCGTGACAATAATTGACTCTGAATATAGTTAAGTCCTCTTTGATATTTACTGAGTTTAATGTTTAACACATGAAGGTTGTATCTGTATCTTGTACTTATATTGTTTGAAATTTTTCTATGTTGTTCACTACAAAGGATAATGAGAGCAAGAATTTGCTGGCTAATGGGAGAATATTAAATTCTTAAACAATTCCCTACATGAGACTCTCCTTTTAGTGTGTAACATTATTCTTATTATTTTCTTTTGAATGTGAAGCAATGTCCATTGAGTTTCCTCCGAAAATAATTACATATGACATAATCGAATGAAGTAAGCAAAGTAGACTAATTTTAAAGTTTCTACTTTCATATGTAGTTTATTTCATATATCAATTTTAAAAACTTCAGCTTCATGTAAAGTAGAAGATCTAATGGACTAACTTTAACAAAAATTGAATTTAATAAAGTGTAACTGCCGACACCAAGTGTTATAGAAATTTTATCGGTATCCTCGGTTATGAAACGTTGACAGCTTTCACGTTTTTACAAATTTCTACATATTTTTGCAATGGTTATCATATAAAAAATGTTTAGTAGGCAAATGTTCGTCCTGTCCTCAGGCGACAGCATTGAAAATTAGAAGAACATTTTGTGCCTACACCGATCGTATTGGTTGACTATTGCGTCGGGAGAAGCCTTGATAAGAACTACGAAAATATAGGTGTGGGGAGATATAAGTATATTTTATCTGAAGTCATGAGTTGCAGCGAAGTAGATAAAATAAAGGTCTATCCAGTTAGTGGTTGGTTACTGTGGAGATAGTTGTGTTAAGAAAGGACAAACATGCGTCGTCAGGTAATGTATTAATCTGTGGGTGAATTATTATAGTAGCCGTTGGTATCAAACGTCGTCGGCAAGTTGCTGTATAGTTTGTTTCAAATACAATATGAAATATCATTAATGATTGGTTCAAAGTGTTTTGATTTTATTTTTAAACAGTTTGTCTTAATCCAAACCAGTGTTGACATTCTTAGAATTAATGTGCACAGATTTTGATGATGTGAACTCTAACAAATTAATTGTGCCATACTTCCTGCTGGGTACATTTAAAATATTATTAAATGTCTTGGACGTGCTATGTGCACTGATTTCAGAACATAAAATAGAGCTAACTGAAGCATGTTTTCAAGCCATGGAATGTGATGTAAATAAGGAGTGCAAGTTATACTAAGATAATGGTGATATATAAGAGTGATTATTCTGAACAGTTGCAGCAGCAGTTTTATCATATAAGGAAGATGTAATTTAGACCATTTGGTGAATCTTCAGGTTTTATGCCATTGCAGGTTATATGTATTTGTTTCAGACACATCAAAAGAAGCGTGAAGTTTCTGGAACTTTACGGAAGATAATAGCTGCAGATGTGTTCCTTACAGATCGATTCTGTAACTGGGCCAATTGCTTTCTTCCATTCCGATCTCTGAGGGTACATTATAAAGCTTTGGAAGTAAGTTTTATTTAAAATGTATTTTTACAATTATGACTGGTTACCTTGTGTCTCTTTTGCCTGATGATATTCTGACATTGTCAGACTGTGGTTGTACAGGAAATGAATGAACATATTAAATATTTTTACTCATTAGTGCACATTTTTGTTTTCTGTGATGTATCTAAATTGTGTTTAAGTGGTGTTAGATTAGCTTAATTTAACCTATATCATGTTTTGTATTGTGTCAGGCTTAATTTTTGTGAGAGGTTTTATGACAGGTGACATTGGTTGAGTAAGTACTTCAGAAGCTTAAGTACATAGCCCCATATTATAAAGAAAGTTCCATTATGAATTTCTGAAGAGAGAAGCATAATGAATTACCCAAGATCTCAGAAATGTTGTATGCTTTAATATAACTGTAACACAGTCATCTTGAACATGATTTTAAATTATTGAAGACTTTCTTCTAAGTGTTCATTGCACTTCTTTAAAATGATAAAGATTCTGGTGGATGGATGTCTAGTAGACAGGAGAGAAAACCATGTAAAAAGTTGTTGCAACCATATTTTGATTTTTATGTGTTTATTTTGATAGCTCTTAAAAAAGAATATTCAGGCATCACAGGAAGCTACTTCCCTATATTCTGTAAGAAATTCCTTAAATGCAAATTGTGGTCTTCTTGATTTTGACACCATGTATTCTTGTAAGTACTAATGTTGGTCTTCTGAATTGTGCTGCTATGTGAACTTATAGGTGGGTACCATTGTTCACCTCTGAAGATGGAGGCAGTATGGTCTTTTGGAACATTGGTATCTACCTACTAGCCACATGGTGTTAATGCAGAAGATCAACATTGGCATCTTCACTACTGTGAGCACAAACTCTCATCATATATTCTTGTAGGTGGTTACCAACATTTCAGGGGAGCATATTGCATCCATCCTTATGGAAGCTGAATGCATCAGTCAAGTGGTTTACACTCCTTGTAAATATCTAAGCGCTTTGAAGTTCCACTATTGTTGCAGAGTTGGATATCATGACTGAGGTTTTGTGGTTTTCCTCAGTTCTTCCCAGGAAAATGGTGGGACAGTACTGTAAATTAGACCATGACTGCTTCTTCCTGCATCCTTTCACATTCATTACTTACTAATAATGTATTGTATTGCTATAATCTAATTGGTTGAATGTATCTGTTAAATGAACCTGTAACCAAAATCAGCACATATATAATTGATTTTAATGTCACAATCAGTTACTTCTGGAATGTGGTACTGTTTCTTTTTCTTTAACAAAATTACATTATTTGATATAGAAGAATGTCTGCTCTACTAATGCAAGAATGTCATTGCGTTACTGATGCTTATGTCCTATTTAACCCGTATATCTCAGCAGTAACCATATGTACCAACTTCTTTAACAATCATTTACACTGCATGTTGTGTTTATGGGTTTTGTATGATTCTCAGTGTAAAAAATTGTTATTTCCCTAAACAGCATTAACCATTTCATCTTTGTAATGGAGGAGTGCTGTACTTTCTTTGAGGTATGGTCTGAATTTTTATGTATTATTAATGTGAGCTTTGGCTTTAAAGGGTTAATATACATTTAGATACCTTAGTGTTCTGAATTTTGTTTGCTAACACCCATTCAGGAAAAAATAAATATCACATCTCTTCTTTGAAAGATTTCATGTCATGGAATACCTTGGCTGACTGGATGGATGGCCTTCATATGGTTGGTGGACAGTCGATCCTTGTACCAAATGCAAGTGAATTTCTTTATAGGTAAGATATTTCCTTTGATCTATTGTAAATATAATTTTGTCTTGTGGTGGATCTTGGTATAGCAGTATATTGTTCTATTATCAGATAGTTATTTAAGTATGAAATTAATTTTAAAAAAAAGTGTTACTAAAAGCAGAGCTCACAAATTTTATTAACTTTTCAGCTGTCTCCTTCTTTCTTTGTATTTACCTGCTGCTTCAATATCCAACTTTTGAAACATTTTAGGAACTCTTCTTCAGTGGTGTGTTTTCCTACTGATAAATTGCTATTTCCACTGCCCTTTGTTCAAGAATCTTCATCTCAATGTTGCTTGTCACCCTGCAAGCTTATAATGCTATGGTGTTTTCAGTTACTTGTGCTATCTAAATGGTTTTCAGTCTTCCTTCTTAACCTGTATTATTTTTTGTCTCACGTCTTCCTATGCCCATGTCTTACTATCGTATTTTATAATTTGTCTTCTTCTTTCTTGGCTTTTCAACTCAGTTGTGGGTCTTCACCACCTCCTTTTCGGAGGTTTTGCTAGTCTTTGAAGTGTGAATTTGTGAGCAGTGAGTGACCAGCCCACTGTCTTTGCACAGTTTCTTCTCTGACTGCTAGAGCCATCTAGTAGTGAATTGGGTGAGAAATGGCTGCTGAATTTTGCTTATGAAACATGTTGTTTCTTGATCGTAAGGTTCTTTTACATGCTGTAAATCTGACATGGGACCGCCAGCTTTACTTCCCCTCTGAAGGAAGTTGTGCTACGAATTTTTATCTCCCTTAAAAATCAATCGATCTCGACCAGGTTTGAACCCATGCACCTTGGGTCCAGTGGTGAGCGCACTAACCACTAGGGCGACTGTATTTTATAACTAATGTATCATGTTTCAGTGAAAGGCATGATGCTGGTAGAACTTTCAGGATGAAAGGAGGGAATATAAAAATATTAGAGACTTGTGTAGAGGCAGAAATAAATTTAAGAAGGGTTTCCAGCCTATGAGTAACTTCGTAAGTAGTAGTCTGTGTAATTTGGTAGAAGCTTACCAGTGGTTCAGAGGTCCTTGCTGCCTCCATCATTAGGATGATAAGATGCCTTGATGATGGAGGCAGAAAGGACCTCTGAATCATTGGTAAACTTCTACCAGACTATATGACAGTACAACCCAGAAGACGGCCATCTTTGGACTCACTGTTGTGTAAACCTCAAATCCAAATTAGTAACAGATGAGAATGGTTATTGCTTGCAGATTCTCACAGTATTTTGAATAGGTGGGGGATTTACATTTGCCCTCTATTGAATGTACTTTGGTTTAATGATGTTACAGATTGAAATACATACAGGTGAGCCATTAGTATCTGAAACTAGCTCTTGTGAAGTTCAGATTGCTATTGAAAAGTTGGAAAGGCATATTTTACCAGATAGTCATAAAATTCCAGTAGAATTGATCCAAGCATGAGGTATTACATTATGTTTTGTGATCTTCAAATTTAATAATTGTGTCTTAAATAAGGAAGAATTGACAGGGCAGTGGAAGTAATCTACTATTATACCTGTTTATAAGAAGGATAATAAAAGTAACTGTAGTGATCATAGAGCAATATCACTGTTATCAATTGCATACAGCATTTTATTCAACATTCTTATGCTGGGGTTAATGCCATATATAGACAAAATAACTGGGGATCCACAGTGTAGATTCTGACATAATTGATCAGCTACTCATCAGTGAAACAATAGTGGAGAAAAACTGAGAGTACAGTGGGATTGTACACCAGCTATTTATAGACTTCAAGAAAGCCAACTATTCAATTAGGAGGGGAGTATTATATAAAATTCACATTGAATTTAGTACTGGTATTCCAGTGAAGCTAGTTAGGCCAGTCAGAATGTACTTAAATCTGTAATGAAGTTCATATTGGTTAACATTTGTTTAATGCATTTCCGATTCATAATGATCTGAAACAAGATGTTTCATCAGCTTTTACTTAGAATATGTAATCAGAAAGTTCTGATATAGTCGGCGCAGTAGTTTTTGGCCGGTGGAGGAGCTGGCGGACAGGCCTAGTCTGTGTACCTGAGGTGGCACGGTCAGTGTATTTCTTTTGTTTGGGCGTTCAGCCACACAAGCTCCTCGGTGCAGTCAGCATTATACTATTGCAAAAGAGACTCACTCCTAGCCTTCCCCTTGAAAACTCCACCGGCCAAAATCTACTGCGTCGACTATAACACAAAGAGGGGTTAGCTTCTGTTTAGCTTATCATGGACTGTCCTCCATATAGTTTAAGTAATGTTTTGTTTTCTTTTATATATGTAGTGCTGTACTTTATTTTACCAAAAATGTCCATAATTGTTTTTACTTACACCAAGAGAAGGCAAGGCATGGACCATATCAAATTCAATATGGCCTGTGGAAATTTCAAATATTAATAATAAAATTCTTTATTAATTTTGTAAATTTCTCGGATGTAATACAGAGAAAGTACTGAAACAGCAAGTGGTGATGATGATGGAAATAACACATCTAAGTTTTGAATGAAACTTTGTTATAGGATATCTAGTACATGTGTTGTACTAAGTATACTGACGACTGGGTCTGAGAATTTCAAGTGGAGCCCATTCGAATGTTTAGTCAGTACAGTTCAGTCAATACAGTTTATATCTATTTAACAATTTTGAAGAACAGTATATTTCTTATGCAACTGTTTGGCCCACAGTCCCTGCAGAATATACACGTTTCCGGATAAAAATAATTACCTATCCCTAACCCATAAATGTGTTTCCCTTTTATGTACCCAATCTCACTCGCTCAACATTTATGCGTATTAAATTTCATTAACATTTAATATAACATACTTTTTATTAATTTATTGTCTGACACAGTTTTATGTCTTACTGTTGATGAATTTTAACACTGAAATTACATTTTATAGGATTGCTGCTCGACATTCTGTTTGTATGTGTGCTGAAAGCATTTACAAGGCGCCGGAGACCAACGGCCAATCAGTCGGATATGTTTGCCACAGTGGGTCCTGATAAATACTCCTTTCCTTCAGGTCACGCTTCAAGAGCCTGCTTCATTGCTGTTTTCTTTATTTTCCTTTATCCATTGTTTTTTATTTTTTATATGCCTTTAATGGCATGGTCAATTTCAATATGCATGTCTCGCCTCCTCCTCCGAAGACATCATTCATTGGATATAATAGGAGGTGTACTCTTAGGAGTTTTTGAAGCTGTCTTGTTGAGTTGGCTTTGGGTGTCTGAGGATTTTGCTGTTTGGATAGTTTCATGGCTGTCAGATGAAAAATTGGAAGGAGGCAGCTATCATGTATGAGAAGTGGGAAACAAGAATATGCCTTAAGGGAGAAATAGCAGGTTTTTATTCAGAATTTTAAATGATTCACACATTTTGAAGTGGTTCATTTCTTTCATTGGTTATGCATCAGAGCTTGAAATGTAAGCAATAAAATTATATGTTCCATTTCTTTATTATTTGAGACATGACTTTCTCTTAACACTGTCAGTGCCAAACCTTTTGCTACGGACTTCAGAATTACAAATGTTCAAAACAAGAAATATAATATGTTGAGAATAAAATATAATGCATTGTGCTATCATCAGATATGTTTATGAATTACATGCAGTAGACATCAAGCCCTTAAACATTGGGCAGATCAAATTATTATAGGACTAGCAGACTTTGAAGCAAACTACTTTCTGAACATTATCCATCATCCCAGATTAAATAAAACATGACGTTTCAGAGATCGGAATCTGTCTTCAGGTAAATCCTACTCTGTTGGGCCCAATTGATAGAGCTGGTCCCCATCTCAGGGCTGAAGATAGGGAATAGCTTTATCAATTGGGCCAAACAGAGTAGGATTTATCTGAACACAGGTAGATTTCAATCTCCAAAATGCCGTGTTTTATTTAATCTGGGATGATGGATAATGTCCAGAAAGTTGTTTGCTTCAACAACACACCATGGTCATGGTTTATTTCTATCAATCATCTCTCTCAGGCCCAATTTTTGATTCACAGAAAAATAAAACAAAACTGCCTTTATGCTAAGACTAGCCAAGTGCTGGGTCTCATCTACACTCAGTTTAGAAGTAGACCTGTAATGAAAAATTTTGCATTGAATTATTTTAAAATGAATGTGAGAAGAAAAATAATATAATTGTTGGTGTTCATTGAACCATGGAAGATATAAAATATAACATAGCAATTTTCACAGTGAAGTAGAAATTAAAATACACATTGTATATTGCTGTATTTTAAGATGGTTAAATCATATAAAAGAAAATGTAGCCAAAAGAAAGCTGTTTTATGTTTTCCTCCGTGTCACAATGGGTGAGAGCAGGAATTTTTTAATCTGGACTGGTAGATAGTTGCGTGATATTGTGAGTGTACATTGGCATAAGTTAAAGTAGTTGTCATGGGCATAAAAGGACAAATGGTAAAATATGTAATGCATGTGGTAAATTGAAGCTTGAGATAAATTGTCATATCCATGAAAAATACAAATGGTTATTCTAAATTTGTCATTTATTGAGGTCTTACCTTTGATTTTGATAACTCTGTTATAGATACAAATACTGTTTTGCATAATCATTTTTCAAACAGTGGTGTATTCCAGGGGTTTTCAAAACTACCACATTTGAAGGTAATGGTACCATCCACACTGATGACAATATTCTTTTAATTCATTTTGTGACAAGTGGAAGAAAGTTTATTATTATTGAAGCAAGTTGATATTGTTATTTTGTAATGTACAGTTGCATAGTTCCTGTATGGTAAATCTTTGCAATAGAAATTTTGTTTGGTTCATTTCATCTGGTTTTGTTTTTTATATATCACCAGCAAAGATACAATGAACTGAATTTTAAAGATCTCAGTTAATTAATAGTTGATGTAAATTCAGTTTGTGAATTTGATTTACATGATTTGATAACATTGGAGCATTCTGTGATTTTTTGCAGATAAAGCTTTTGGGCAGGAAGATATAGAAATACATGATAGATGTTTCATTTGTTGGTATGTCTATATGTAATAACTAAATAGTTGTGTATTTAAATTACATCATACCAAGGAAAAACTACCAGGCATGAATGTTCATAGCAATGACTTTTCCTGACTGTATTCTTAACACATTCAAAATCAGCTGGATATTCATCACGCTGAATACCCATCAGGCTTTTCACCTGAGAAGCAACTTTAAGCAACCATATTTTCAAATTACAATTCCAAGTATCAGTATTTAGTGAGTTATTTTTACATGGTGTCTAATTTAATCTCTGTAGGAAAAGCAATCTAGACTGATGTATAAACTATAAGTATGACTTCTTTGTTGGGCATATTATATGAAAAATTCTCACCCTTTGCAAGAACTTCAAGAAAGTATTAGGCATTGAAAGTTTTGCTATTCCCATACAGTCTTATGAAATATTTGAGTTGAGTATGGAGGCCAAAGCCCACCCTGGGCTGTAGCACTGAGGAAGATGATTTGAGTTGAGTAAAAGTTATGAGACAAGACACCATTTAACACCTGGTTCTTTTGGTGTACTATATACTGCATATTGTTATCTATTTATGAACTTTGTCCAGATATTCTAAATGTTTTATATTACATTTATTTTTATATTTTGTGTAAGCTAGTTCATATATACAAAGCAATTCTTATTCATAAACAGCATTCAGTATTTGTTTATTGTATGCCCATACAGCAAATTCCAGAAAAACAGCCACTGCATTGGGTCTCTGTCAGAAGCATGATATGTTAGCTGTGGGATCCGATCAGCTGTATACTGTATTTGATATAATTTAGTGTTCCTCAATGCAGTTTGTTAGACGTCCATTATTGTTTGTCACCCCACTTGTTAGTAGTTGTTAACTAGTCCATGAAAACAATGTAAGTGAACTGTGCATGGATGATTGCATAACCTTCGTCCACCACACTTTGCTTTTCTTTTATAAATATTTTGAACTCTCCCCCTCTTGCCCCCCAACTCTTAGTGCCCATATCCCAATACCAAATACCTCTATTATTTTCTTAAGGGTAGAAAGGTTTAATGTAGTGCATACATTACCAAACCCCAATCTACCCTAACCTTTATTACACCACGTATTCATAAGACCTATACTACCAAAGAACTAGTACAGTACTTGAATCTCGTATCACCTCTGGACCATGACCTGGGAAATTGTGCTTGTAAATTTCCTCAAAAAGTGTCTCACATCTTTGCTGAACATCACGTAGTTCGTGAGATTGGTTTCTAGATGTCACTGGCGGCAGTAAAAATAAAAGATTTCACGTTGGTACTCTTCAAACTTTGGAGTGAGATGAAATGTGCTGTGCTTATTTTCAACATTTATTAATATGACGCTGTTGTGAAAGAGATGAGAGTATTTCGCTTTGCTTGGGGCGATAAAACTGTTCCTATTGCCAGCTTTTAACTCGTTTCATAGGACATTCAGAAAATTCATTGCAGTAAGGATCTGCTTGTGGGCAGTGTGCTCTTTCCATTGTCGTTCGGATATTTTGCAAGACCGCAATGTTTGTCGGCGGTTGAGGTTATGTTGAGTTTAGGGCACGGGAATGGGGGCAGTGAATGAAAGAAAGCTGCGAGACATTGACTGCATTGGTAGTTAACGTAGTTGACCTCAAGAGAATGTTGATTAGGTTAAAATTGTTGCCTAGTATACCCTCATTCTAAGAATTTCAATGGAGTAGGTTTATATTTACAGATACGGAACAATAATAACAAATAGAAATGAGATCCATGATGAAATCAGGAGTAGAGTACATTCGGAAAACGATTGTTTTTTTTTCCAATTCAAAAACTTATCATCCCGTTTGATACCTAGAACTCAAAAATCAAGACATGTAAAACAATAATATTGCCAGTTGTCTTCTATGATTGTGAAACAGTCTTTTATCTTGAAGAAAGAATTTAGATTACAAGTGTTTGAAAACTAGGTGCTCTGGAAGATATTAAGACCTAGGAAGAATTAAATAAATGGTGGGGAGTTGCATGAATTGTACAGATCACCAAGCATAGTGAGGATGTAAAATATGGGAGGCTCCGATTAGCTGGACATATGGCACATATGGAGGCAAGGGGTGCATACAGAACTTTGGTGGGAAATCCTTCTGGATAACGACCAGTCGACAGACCAAGAAGGAGACAGGAGGATAATATCTAGGTAGATCTTACGGATGTGGGCTGTGAGGATGGAAAATGGATTGAGTTGGCTCAGGATCATGTCTTCTGGCAGGCTTTGGTGTTGTAAGTGTTAGACCTGCAGGTTCTGGTACACATGTCATTCTGAGAAGATAAGGAACTTCACTCAAATCACTCGTAATGAAATATAAGCCACTTCTCGTCAGTTCATGGTCTTAATGCAAATTATTGTGATCACAGGAGAGGACTGAGTTGGACATGTGCTTTGTTTTGATAAAGAGCCTTGATGCTCACTGTCCAAGAAACTACACATTTTATATGCATATGTATGCATGCAGGATAACTGGATATTTTGGATGCAAATACTTTTTGCACTTGTTGTACGAGCTTAATACAAGAGGCTAGCTTGATGCTTGAGATTCTGCTGATTTGGAAATTGTGTTTCACCTGTATTTTTGCTTGCCTGAAGAACAGTGTATTATGTGCAGCAACACTTGGCAAGCAGATGTGATATCACAACAGGAATTTGACTGTAAACTTGACTTGTGTTACTAAGAAATCTGACAGCACTAGTCTGACTTGACATACATTGCGTAAGTACATCAGCATTAGGGCATATTGCACTTGCATTCTGTATGTAAGAGTTAAGTCAGTTGAAGATTATGTGATACTTTCAATTAACACTTCCTTGTAACATTTTCAGGAGTCAGTTTTCATATCATATTTCTGGAAAAGGAGCTATAAACACACATATTTTCTTAAAATGTGAAACAGTAATTAATAGAACAAAATGGTTGTCACAAAAGTTGCATAGGGTGAACTTGATATCTGAAAGAAGAAGGAGAAGAATAATCTAGTCAACTAGTTTTTGCAGGACAGTGAACATTTTTGTTTTGGAATTGGACAGTTGTAGCCAGGGCCCTTTGATTTCAACTGGAGAAACTGTACCAGTAGCTGGAGTGTAACAAGTAGGTGGTAGGGTTTAAATGTCAGTATTATAATATGGTGTGGAATAACCATGGTCCTAATAGTGTAAATTATGTAAAGAGGTTTATTTTTATCCCAAACCATATATTTCTTTCATGGAACATTCACTCTTTTACTGTTTATCTTTGCCTTGAAGTCTCCTGTTTAGGACCACTGTTATCTAGTGGAATCAAATTAATTATTTTTGATGATTTGAATGTGTCCAACCATACTAAACCTGTCTGGACTAGTTCATAGGTTGCCAAAATTGTTCACAACCATGGAAACTGTCAGAAAGTGTTTTAAGATTTCTGGCATAAGATTACTAATCTTACTGCAGGTATTTTATACAGCCTTAAAAACGAATTCCGACCCATCCCAGTTCTACACGATACCAACAGAACTGCTCCCAGGCCAACAGAAATTGAACATAATGTAGCACCGTAGCACCATGAAACTCAAAATTCCAAAACAGTTTAAGTTTCTAAATTTTTAATATTTTAAAATTTTTGAAAATATGCATTATTTTAATTGTTCAAAGAATCTAAATTTATTCAGAATATATGTAATTTTCAGAATTTTAAAGCTTTGAGAAATTTCGAAATTTAAAGTTTTTATTGTTTATGAAGTTTCGATGTTAATACATATTCCAGATTTATAAATTTTTAAAATATTGGGACAAATAAGGAATTAATGGTTTTAAGATTTTAATGTATTCTGAATGTTTGAAGATTACAGCCGGAGGGACGACTTACGCATGTGTGCTACTTATATTTATAAATTTTATATGTCTGTGACTATAATGTTTGCAATCCCGTGACGTTCTGTACTATTCTTAGCATTGCTTCTGTAATCGGTGGAACGCAAAATTACGATTCGATATGATAAATTTTGTGTGTTGGAAATTTTGTATTTCCTACGTTTGCGACCGTGTCCCAACGAAGATGCTTTCGGGTATGTCCCCTAGGATTTAGTTCGTATGTAGTATGGTTCAATGTGTTGTTGGTTATTCACTATTTAATGAAGAAAAATAAATACTAATACAAGGTTACGTGGTTTTTAATTTCATAAGCGGATTCGTGGAAAGAGAAATGAAACGAATGACTGTCAGTTAGCCAGGGACTACCGTGTTCGTACGTCCCTATATAACGCTTCAGAGCGTATTATTATTGTGTGTGAGAACGCGTCTGCGTTGTTGAATTTATTTAAGGGGAAGTTATTTTATAATTTTCATACATTCCCGCAGACACCGCGACAGATGCCATCATAGTGTACGGACATTTTCGAGCATGTAAATAATTTGTGTAATAATGTTTAGGAAATTATGTATTTACGTTGTGCCATGAGTGATTTCTGTGATCACATATTTTATAAATTCCTGCCTGCCTTTATATGGACTACACGCTTGCCCAAAGTCGTGAGGTGGAGTATTTCTTTTCTCGACAGGTGCGCATACCGTACTACGTACTTGTTGTGGAGACGCCATTTTGCGTATTGTCGACTGCAGCGCCACCACTGATTACCTACAAGACCTATGGAAAAAAGGTAATAAATGAGTTGCTCTACAGAGTGCCGCAAACGGCGTGTTTGTATCTGCCGTAGGTTTAGCTTCGATTGGTTTATTAATTGAGGAGGTTTGATGTGTATATTTGTTAAATTTGTCGCTTATAATCTCAACTGTTGTCTTACAAGTGTATGTTAATACATGTTTTTCAGTGCTATTGTCTTTCTCCATGCCACGCATCCTTTGTTTTTAATGGATTATATGTGTAAACAGAAATCAAAGAAAATCGCCCCATCACCATGTTGCTGTTTTTAGAATTCTGAACAAAGGCTTCATGTTTTTAGTTATTCTGTGCATGTCCATGCGATTGTGTCGCTCCTATGTAACAAGTTCGCGCGTCTGCTATGTTGTAAGAACAAATAGGAAATTACATAGTCCGAGGTGGTTGTGCCCAACTTCATACCAGATTTTGTGGAATTCGGGTTCGGAGTTGAGAGACAAACAGGCACTACAGCAGAGTGCCCGAGAACTTGTTTCCGGGTGTACAGTCGGACCGGGATATCTAGTAGCCTTATTTAGCAGGATGCTATGATGAAGTGTGCCCGATTTACTTGTTAGCAGCAGTGAATGATACGCCATTTTTGCACGAAACTCTGGTATAAATCCTTTGTATATTAATTTGTACTCGTAATGAAACGACGTGCACTGTTCAGCTGACTACCCAGTGTAACACCAAACGCAAGTATGGGCCTATTATTGTTCGTTAAGATTCGGCAGTGACTAGCGCTGGGCGACAAGCGCAATTTCTGTGTCGGGTCGCAGATTGTGCCATGTGATCTTCATCCGTCCGGACCAAAGTAGTTTTTGATTTGATGAGTAGTAAGGGGTGGGGGCGTGTGGGCCGTACAGTGGCAGGCCGATAGGCGCTGCTCACAACGACGCGCACCATGTCACCCACAGCATCCACCGCCGCCATGACCTGCCATCATCTGCTTCTGTTCATCCTCGCAGGTAACTGGCTGGCTGCCCCTTACGAATGCGCGAATTTAATTGTATCAAACGACGACACGTTCTGCCAGTTTGTTGCATCTTGTGTAGTGTTTGTGTGTCTGGGAAGAGTGCTTCAAATAGCTTTCGATTAAACAGTGGTCTGCTAGTGACAAAGCTACATTTTTTCGCAGTGAAAATTTCATTTTTTCTTCACTCTACGCCCTACGTTTATTTACATTTAGCGTTTGTTTGAATGTTTATTTGACAAAAATATTCGTGACACTTTAGCGACCATACTAATATAAGGATGTATCTCAAAAGGGACTAACATGGAAAGGGTTATATTAATTTATGTTTGTAATAAATGTAATATATATTTGTGTCGGAAATGAAGGTGGATGATGTATTTACCAATTGAACGTTCGCCTCGAACACTAAACGTCGTGTCGTTAATCTGTAGAGATAGTAAGTCCGCTTCAGCGCTGACTGCACTAAAGGTTAGTGTGAGTTAGGCTGATCGATTCGCAAAGCGGCTGCTGTAGGCGTTAGGGACCACATCTATTAAAAGTTAAGCTACAGAGTTATAATCTATTTGCTCATCTCTTAAGATATTCCTAAATCTCTTCTTTGTTTCGGTTTATGCTGTAATATTTGTGTCGGCTGTATTTCGTCTTTTACAAATTCAGTCACGTTTTGTCCATTTCGAGTTACAGTATGCTGGTGTCTTATTGCTTCTCATAAACGAAGAGCTTCGGAACTTTTAGACGCACTTAATATTAGGATAATTACACGAGGAAAGTTGAGGCACGCAGTCCGTACGAATAAATGTCTTGACGTTTACATATTTTAGAACTAAGATTCAAGCGAGAGAAGAATTACAGTACAGCAGTTCTAGATTAAATATACGTCTTGTTCAGATTCTGAAAAACTCGTATTTGTAGTGCGCTGGCACCGTGCTGACTTTTCTGAAGTACCATATTAATTGAGATGGTTAGAGCAACTTTGAACAGTTTTGTAAATAAGTTTATTAAGTGGTCAGTTTTTGTAGGCATCTCAAAACTTATTTCGTGGACACTACGGTACTGTTTCAAACGGGCGGACGTTTTTCATTTTCCCGCAATGTAAGACAAATTCAATTATCCGTCGGCAGCTACCGATTCTTTCTTATAATCGAACAGCAGTGGATGTTGGTTATTTGGCACTATTTTATTGTTGTTAAGGGATTCTGAACCTCGTATGATAATATTTATGAATGTGTGTGTTGTTATTACTGTTGCTATATGATATTGTGATCATTTGTTGCTAAGGGATTTAGGCTACATGGGATGGTAACATAGCATTTGCTATGGTAATGCTTTTAAGGTAGGCCTGTTATGTCGTACTACAGTGTAGCACAGTTATTATAACATCGATATAAGATCTTATATAAGATTCTAGTACTTCAAATCGTATTATATTCTTTTATTAAAAGTACACGGAAATAGTGTTTAAACAAATAAGATGTCACAGAGTTGTGTGCATCATTATCGTTCTTATGCCGTCATGGTTTTCATTTAAACAGTGTTTAGAACATGTAATGAACTTTATAAACGAATTTAACGGATTAACAATATTTTAGGACCCATTAACGTAGCTGGAAATTCTGACAAAATATTAAGACTGAAAATTGCTGTTACGAAGTCGTATTCTGTAAACATTAGATAATATAAAATAATAAAATTTTTGGAAATTTTGTAGCTGGTGAATGAAGGAAAATATATGCCTTTATTTTAAAACAGAATTTTAATACAGTGGGAGTAAGAATTAACAGTGGAATGACAAAACAGGGCTCACCATGTTTCGCGCCCCTGGGACTGAACTCGCGGCCCACGTATTGAGAAACACTGGATTTTGGTATGTCTGTTGTCATTCTTTCTTCATACTGGCGAGTGGTTCACTCTCCGAAATCTTGATTTCCTAATAGTTTTCGTCACTTTTTTTGTACGTAATTTGAGTGCGTACATTGAGGAGGGCGACACTGTCTTCCTAATTTGCAGAAATTCGTGCTTCATCTGAAACGTAATACAAAATTGTCGTAATCATAAAATTTCACATTCCGAAGCTGTGAACGAAGTCCATCGTTTTCCGCACATTGATGTAAAGGAACAGTGCGGTAGATAAAGTGTTTCTGCTGACAGCACTCTGAGTGCGAAAACGTCGAGAAGAAGTAAATTTGTAATTCTTTGTGTCACAGAATTTTCAGATACTAAATATATTGTTACCAGCGGATGCAAGAGGAAACTGAACACTCTTATTGTGTTTCTTTCATTTACTAATTGTTAACTAGCAGTGGCCGTTGATATTCAACGAGAAGTCCAAATTAAAGGTCAGTTTTACGCTGCTCCGAAAGTAATTAACAGTTGCTTGAGACGGAAATATTCAAGACGTAGTAATCTATGTCGAATATCTCTTCTACAACGGGCCAGGTGTTATCTACACGCCTGTGCCCAATTTTAGAACGGAAAATCGTTTATTTTTCGAGGTTTATTTCTCCAAGAGGAACTTTGTGTTTAATATTTTTTCTGCGACGTGCCGTTCTATTATTTTGGACACCCCTGTACCAAGTTGTCGAAATAGAAATATCACTTTTTCCCGGTGTTGTTTCTCCAACAGGAACACCTTCAGTGATTACAATTTTCCTCTACGGTTTACATTTTGAGGGAAAGGCGCCGTTACACAAGTTTTCTGGACACCCCTGGACACCAGATTTTCGGAATATAAGAGTCTGTAAATATATTACCATTGCTCTCTCTCCAATCTTTTGGACACCCCTATACCTACTTTTCGAATGAGTGGTAACTTTTCCTGGGTTGTCATTCTAACATAAGAGGACGTTTCTTGTTTGCCAATTTTATACGACACACCCTTTGGGAGAAACTCGCCGTTGCATAAGTTTGGGACACCAGAGTAGAAAAACGTGGACATTATTCCAGCGGTTATCTCTCCAAGGAGAATATTCCTTGTACTGTGTGCCGCTGTGCAAGTTCTTTGTGAACCGCTGAGCAATATTTTCGAAACGTAAAATCTGACAATTTTGCGGGATTGTCTCTCCGAAAGGAACACTTTAACATTTTACCTCCGACCCACCATTTTGGAGAAACACGCCATTATATAAGAACTTTCGGCACCTCTGTGCCCAATTTTCGAAAAGGAGAAAGTCTATTCTGGTTCTTGGTCATCTGTCTAAGAGAAACAATTTTTCTGTTTATAAGATTTTTAATCCTTCGACACACCGCTGGGAGAAGCACGGTGGTGTATGAATTTTTTATCTGAGATGAACGCGTTTGCACGTAAATTTTTCCTCTCGTGTCTTATACTTTATGCCTTTTCAGGGCGTCCAGTGTTATTTGCAGTAAATTATCTTATACATCACGCAACTTTTAGATATTCTCGTGACTTCCATTATCTGCGCGTTGTTTGTCAAGTTTTTAATAAAAGATTAAACGGTTAATTGAAATGTAAATGCTTGTATGCTGTTGAAACTAAACCTTTAATGAAACATGTCGCTACTTGTATAAAGAGCTTAGCCCCAGATAACGAATCGCTCTATGACCTA